CCCCCCCCCCCCACCCCACCTGCACCTCAAAAAACAATTCAAAGAGATGAAACCAACCAAAACAAATAGGAAAAAGGTAATGCAAATTGAGGGCTGTGCTGAATAACATGTCTTTCCCAAGAACATTTATTGTGTGTCAGCATGACACACTTGGTAGCACTTGTACCTCTGAGTCAGAATGTTAAGGGTTCAAGCCCCACATTGAGAATATTTTACTTGTATTGTTTAGGTTGATACTCTAATGCAGGTTGAGGTTGGTTGAGATGTTAAACTGAGGTCCTGTCTGCCTGTTCAGTTGGGGGGGCAAAGAACCCATGGTAGTATTTGAAAAGAGTTTCTGGCCTGGCCAACAACCCCTCAGTTAAAATTGTTCAGTCACTTCATGGCTGTTTGTGGGGCATTGCTGTGCATAAATTGGCTGTTGCGTTTGCCTACAAAATACACAGTCACAAAATACGCAATGCTTTGAAATGCTTAGATATGTGCTCCCAACTTGAAAGATATACAACTTGAAAGATGCTATGTCAAATGCAAGGATTATTTTGTATTACGTAATGAGACCTTCAGACCCTTGCTCAGAAGCGGCCATGAGTTGAATTGATGTGACCTATGATCTAACCTCTCTTCGTTTGATGAAGTACCTTGGATCTACACCCCCTTTCTCCCAAATAATACACAAAGGGCAGGAGTTAATTGTGTGGTGAATTGGCTGCATTCATCTTCTGCATGGCAGTTTGTTTGTTTGACTTTCTTCATTCACCTTGTGGCTGATTGTGGAGCGGAGCAACATGATCCAATGTTTGCCTACAAATAACAGTCACTGCATTGCACTTGACAGTAATTGCTGTGTAGTGTTTTGAGACTGTTTCAATCCTCTAGGTATTTTAATGAGTGTAAATATTCAAAGTTATTTTAAGATATTGAACGTTCTTCCAGGTAATTCAGAGCCTGGGAGCACCAATGTTCAATACTACAGAATAGCAGGTTCAATTTCCTTCTACAGTAGAGTTCTCAATTTCAGATATGTATCTATAGGAAGCGCTCAGCGTTGGTTAGATGCTTCCCAACAACAAGGAGAGCAGATTGCATGAATGAACCTCCGCTACTCCTGTGCACTTCCTATCAGCCAGTTTACACAACATTTGCAGAGGCCCTAATTCGGCCCAAACAAAGAAAATGAAAGTAATAAATCTGGCAGAGAAAAATATTTGAGAGGAAAACAATATATAAAATTGGTCACTTCAATCCACGACTGTTTGTGGGACACTGTTGTGCGCAATTGGCTGCCACGTTTTCCCCACAAATATACAGTCAATTCACTTTACAGTATATTCTGTGAAGCGCTTTGAGACATCTATAAGACGTAAATTGCACTATATCAAATGCAAGGATTATTAATATATTTTATTATTTGAGCTACTTCTTGATTCTGGGTATTGACCTGCAGATGTTATTCAGTTAGCTCGGCAAATGGTTTCTCCTCCCGCCCCTGCCCAGTCAGCTGCCGGTACCTCAGAGCTCCATCCTTAGCCCTCTTCTTTTTCTTATCTATATGCTTGGGGTAAACTTCCACATGTATGCAGATGACACACAATCTACTTTGCCTCCTCCAGTATTGACTCCAGGTCCACCGATGTTCTATCAGCTTGTCTGGCAGTCATCATGGCCTGGATGAGTGCAAACTTCCCGCAACTGAATGTGGACAAGACGGAAGCCATACTCCTTGGCTCCTGTCAACGTCTTCACTCCTGTGGATCTGAACTCCTCAACCTCCCTGGGCTCTCCCTCTCACCGAACCAGTGCGCAATCTAGGCATCCGGTTAGACTCCCAGCTGTCCTTCTATCCTCACATCCAGTCCCTGACCAGGACCACCTTCTTCCACCTCCGACACATTGCCCGCCTCCAACTGTACCTTACCCCAAATGCAGCCGAAACCACCAGGCATGAGTGTCACCTCTCGCCTGGATTACGCAAATACACTCCTCGCCGGTCTCCCCAGCTCCACTATTCAAAAAATCCAACTCATTCAGAACTCTGCCACCCGCATACTTACCCGGCCAAACTTCGTACCCCCACCTTACTAGTTCTGGCCAGAGCCCACTTGCTCCCCATCACTAAATGGATCGACTTCAAGATCCTCAAACACATGTTGAAATCCATTCACTTCCTGGCACCTCCCTCTCTCCAACCTCCTCACAGCCAATACGCCCCGAAACTCTGCAACTCTCCCTCAATCCCTCCGCCTTGCCCCCTCTCCCCTTTTTCAAGTCCCGTCTGAAAACCTTTCTTGTCTACTATGCCTATGGTCACCTCCCTCCCCACCCCGGAGTCAGGCTCCGCCATTGTTAAGTTCTCTGAGACGCTACCCTACATGGAGGGCACCATATAAGTACAAGTTGTTGTTCGACTTTCCATGGTTCATCAACTTTGCAAATCTGTAAATTGAACAAAAGTATTTAATTTTAGTACGCAGAACCGTACTATCTTATATTTATGCTATATAATTTCTCCTTGACTTGCTTAATTTGCCACTGGGTACCTAGTAATGAACAGAATTCCTACAGGATTGTTCATTGCTTGGTTTTAATCTCAGAACTAAACTATTAATTTAGATTGTCTTGAAGCTAACTAGGAACAAAAAGAATTCTGAACCAGTTGGCCATTCAGCCACTCTGCTGCTATTTATTACTATGATTTAAAACGTTTTATAATGCTTGTAGATATTTAATTCACCCACAGTATTTATTCCTCTTTAAAGATGCTTTTATTACTTTTATCTGTAACCTCAACTTTCCCCTCCCTCCAATACCATGAGATAATTTTCCAGGAACTTAGTTCACAAGAGAAAGTGAGCATTAAGCTTGTCTTAAATGAATCCAGGTTGTTGGCCTCCGCCATCCTTCTCGTTGATTAGTTCTGTTTGTTGGTTACTCCCTATATAAATACTCCCTGCTCTATCCCACAAATGTTTTTTTGAACCTGCGCCATCATCCTACTACTTTGGTGTACCTGGAAGTATTATCTAGACATACTATCTATATGTCATTTAGATTGTTATAGTTCTATAATGTCCCCTCAGAGGTTTCCTGTTTTGAGGCATTATCATATTTAGTTGTTATTCAGTTTATCCCTCTAACACTGGGGATTAGCCTTGTTGCACTCTGGACTGTCGCTGGCATTAGAGCGAATAACATTCAGATTACCTTCCCTTATATCACCGACTGCATAAAACACTAAACAATTTATAAGTAATAATGTTATGCATTCAGAACCACCTGGCCTCTGTGCTAAATGTGATCCCTGTTGATGGAAGCAATATTCTAAATATCACTTCCAATAATCTTTAGCTCCACTCAAAAAAGGCCAGACTTGGGCTCCTTACCTCAATTATGAACTGGACCAGACTAATATTGGCTGTAGATCTGATTGCTTGAACCAGTCTCTCCGTTCAAGCTTTTGCTCGGAGTTCTCAATATCTAGCAAACTTAATTGAATTTGCTGCCTCATTTTGTACCAATTGTAAATGATCTTTGCCACAAAATAGATTTACACCCCTGTCCCATGTGTCAATTTAGAATACTGCCTCTTCCTGGTTTGAACATGTAAAACATCATTAAATATTGATAGTTATTCCATATGTATGAGCCCAGACAGCATAACTGCAGGCAGGTCCTTCGGCAACTTAAAGTTATACTTATTGAAGTGCTTTGCCAGAATGAAAATCTCAATTATTATACAGGCAAATCCAATAACATTCAACTAACAAGCCAATTTATGGAGTGAATTTTAATGAGGGAATATAACCCTGGTTAAATTAATTAAAAACTTAACTTCTTCTTCGAAATACCAGCAAAGGGAGGTGGGGAGAAGAACCCTTAACATTCACCTGAACCGCAAGGCAGATGGGATGAATGAATGGCGCAAACAGAAAAATGATATCTGGAAAGAATGAACCTGGATAAGAGTTTAAAAATGTCCTCAACCAACATCCAGTCAAAATGTATTTTCCGAGGAGCTACAGGACAATGATCATTCATCAGGTAATAATAATAATCCTTGCATTTGATATAGCGCTTTTCACGTCAGGAGGACGTCCCAAAGCGCTTCACAGAACACACTGTAAAGTGAATTGACTGTATATTTGTGGGCGAACGCGGCAGCCAATTGCGCACAGCAATGTCCCACAAACAGTCGTAGATTGAAAATGACCAATTTATTATTGTTTTTGGTTTTGGAGGGATTATTATTAGGCTCTGTGTGGAGTAAGGAAACTTGCCCAAGGTTTCGCCCTCTGCCTGGAATTGAACTCAGGTCTCTCACTTGCAAAGCGAGTGCTCTAACCACTGAGCTACAGGACTCCACAATGAAGCATTGATCAGAAATTTAAATAGACCTTCCCTTTGAGTAGCATTTAGCACTATTTATTTCAGCACAGGTATGAGAGCTGGAACTAAACTTATCAACTCAGCAGTGAGAATTTTGTGAACACCCAAATAAACAATCAAGACTCGTAGTGCCAGAAAGGACTTGGGAGACTACAAATACTGTGTACGTGCCAGAAGTTTAAAGGCTTTTAAGGCAGGTCCAAGTGGACCTTAGTGCAGCAGAGTTCAATGCACCATATATGGAATTTGCAACTACCTTACTTAAAGATCATTGCATCCATTGCGCTGCCTTTTCAGATGGTTTGTCGGCCATTAACAATGATATATAGTTAGGTTAAATCTTTGTGAAATTTACTAACTGGCATGAAGTCAATCAAAGTAAATTTTTGATAGTTTTTTATATGGGAATTATTCAGCAAATGAGAATCAATTCATCACTCAACTCCCATTGTTCAAAATCTGGTTATAATTGCGATAGTTTTATTGGTTAATATGGCAAATCTTGTATCCCACTATTAAGTTACTTTGACTCAGCCAGTTTGTAAAAGCAAGGGCCAAAAAACAGTACAGAAACCTTGCACGCTTCCCCGCCACCATGAATAAACGGTTAACGATAACATTCAGATCTTTAATGCACTTCCACAAGATTTATACATTTGGAAGATGGTACACACACAACAGTGAAAAATGAACTGCAATCTGAGCAGGGATATCCCACATTTTGTATCACCTGTAATTCATTTTAGAAGACAGAACTTTTTAACTAACTAAACCTATATTCACAACCAAAAACAGTTCTTCTATATGCAACTGAGTAAATTGGCAACTTTTTTGTTCAACACGGTAGTTCAATGTATCACAACCAATGATTCCCCCTACCCTACAACCATACAAATCGTTACCGTAATTAACGGTAAGCTTGACACAACACAATTAAACATTTGAGCATTCATACTGAAACCTTTATTACAGCAACAGATGCAATGCATCACATACAACAGGGTACGCCAACAAACAAATGTTGCATCACATCAGTTAGTAGCAACTGTATTATATACTATCACAGTACACAGAAGTTAAAGGAATGCGTTTCTCAGGTTATACAAAGCAAAGTAACTACAACATAAAAAATGTTTAGATGCTATATACAGTTTGGGCAAGAACGATGTTGACTTGAGATTTAATGTGGTACAAAAAAAGTCCCAAAAGGGAAACAAAGATGCTTTCAGATTTAACATTTCCTCTTGACATGCTCTTCCGCTAAATTGATGTATATGTCCCCGTTTCTCCACCTAAGAGAGAGTATAATACATTTTAGAACAAGAAAGAAGTTTTCCAAGCTTTACACAAAACTGTAATAATGAAAATACACAGGCCAATACTTCAAGGTGCTGCACCGGAAAGCATTTTACTGCAGCAGATCAGCTCTAGTGACATCAGACCTAGTTTTGGCAAGTCTGACACATTAACCCAGTCAAACCAAAATAATCTACAGCTTGCTTGAGGTTGTTTGGTTACCATTTGTAGTTTCACTACTGAGCTATAAAGAAAAAAACACAAGCATTAAAATGTTTAACTTTTAAATAATAAAAAAACCACACTGAAGATCCATAAGTGAAATACAAGCTGTTACCAAATAAAGAATACTGTATTAATTATGCAGTACCAAATCATTACACATTAAAACAAATGCCTGTAAGAAATGTTTATCCAATGTTATATAATGCAAAGATGACTGAAGACAAAGGCTGAAGTTTTCCAGTTTATCTTTAACGTTGATACATGATGTTGGAAGAGACCATACCACAGGGCAGCATTTTCACGAGCACACCTCACGTTCTGTCCGCAATGCGCGGCCCCAAGAGAATCGTGTGGTCAGGGTGACACGTGTCCTGCAATGAAGTTCCCGCTGGCGGGTACAAACAAGGTATAATGTCAGAGTTAGAAGACAACTTTTTCCTTTCGTCTTGCTGTGTCCTTTATTTGTACCCATTAGCTGTACTTTACCTGTTAAATTTACAGACTTGTTAAAAAGTGTTAATCCCTCAGACCTTTTAACACCTCCTGTTACAAAAGTCACAATCACTCGAGGTGAAAACTCTTTAATAAGGGTACCTGAAGTACAGTACTTTGAGCGAGATAATTACAAAATCTGTTATTTTACATATTTAAACATACATTTGCAAATCGATTCAAGTTCTTCATCAGCTGTAACAAGAGTTACATACCTGCAGTGAAATAACTATATCAGTTTTTCTTTAGTATGGCTGGTAGTTATTCTGGTGACTGCCTGCACCTCTAGATGCCTTTCCATAGCTGCTCTGCTGACCTGTCAAAGGGGATGGATGGATTTTTTTTGTTAAATTTTAATTGCAGAATTGTTATGCACATTAATAAGGTGGCCAATTTACAAATTTGAATGATATCTTTGGCCTCACTTATTAATAACTTAAGAAAAAAAACTGCTAGTACCAACCAAACTGATTCTCAGCAAGCTGCAGAACTAAAAAAAAATGGGTAAAGAGCCCACTTTGAACTATGGCTTAACCTAGTCTTTCACCTCCATAATTTTACCCACCTGGCCACTCACCCCCAAACATCCTCCTTGAGCAGGGAGGACAGGGCAGTCCAGGCCGCAGACTTCTCCACGACCGTCAACGCCACTCCTTGACTGGCCAACAGGAGGCACATCTGCTATGAGGCAAGATGAGTAATGTCAGTTTTCCCCCCTCCAAGATGGAATAGTGTTACCCAGTCAAAAGTTGACTAAACAGATATGAGGCCAAGACATTATTCTCTTTTGTCAAGAGCATTTTTCCAAAAAAAAAACAACTCGCTAATTTGCTACCTTCATGAAGGAATTTGACTTTTTTTTCTGGATATGGCTGTCGGTCACCCTCTTAATACCTTGCCAGTCAAGCCGATCCTATCCCAGTGTTCACACAATGCAATTTGAGCATCGATGACTGATAAGACAGGTGACTGATTTTCCCCACCCTAATCTAATACAGTGATGCCAATGAGAGCATCTTTACTTCTTCCCCAGTTGGAATCAACAAACTCACAGATCAGGTATTGAACCTGAAACCTTGCACATCTTTACGACTCGAGTACCCTTTGGAAAAACTCATGAAGCCACTTCACACTTTCATATAAATGTTGTACAAAACCACTTTTAAATCACATACAACATGAATGGTTACCAATCCAAAACTTACACACAACTTGGTCTGTCACTTTAATTCAAATAAATTGATGCTCAGCAGTTACTGACATGCAACAGTGAAAATCTTCATGGATAATTGAGGTTCCACTGTAATGAGTATTAATGTCAACATTGAAGTAGATACTTGATATGCTTATCAGCAGCTATAAGCTGGACCAATAGAAAAGTGGGCCGCAATTTTTCCATGGAATCCGCTATGAACGATCTCCTCTGCTACAAACAGCAAAAACAAAGTGTGCTCAGCACAGGGCCTCCGCACGCTACTGCCCGGCTGTTTGCTCGATGCTACTGTGGGTGGTGAGGCACGAGCGGGAAATGGACTTCACTCAACCCGAGGACCCGCTGTTGAGATTATCTGTGTGTCTCTCTCCTCTGCCTGTATGCGTTTGTGTATGTCTCTGTGTGAGGGCGTCTCTCTCCCTGTGGATGTGTCTCTGAGTGTCTGTCTGTGAGTGTGTCTCTGTCTGTAAACGCCTGTGAGTGTGCGTCTCTCTGTATCTGTGAGTGTGCGTCTCTCTGTATATGTGAGTGTGTGTCACTCTCTCTGTGAGTGTGTGCCTCTGTGCTTGTGTGCATTTCTGAGTGCATGGGCGTGCGTGTCTCTCTGTAACTGTGAGTATATGTCACTGTCTGTGAGTGCACGTTGCTCTGTGTCTGTGAGTGCGTCGCTCTGTGATTGCGAGTGCATTGCTGTCTGTGAGTGTGTCTCTCTGTGCCTGTGAGCGTGCATCACTCGCTGTCTGTGCCTGCGTGTCGCTCGCTGTCTGTGCCTGCGTCGCTCGCTGTGTCTGTGCCTGCGTCGCTCGCTGTGTCTGTGCCTGCGTCGCTCGCTGTGTCTGTGCCTGCGTCGCTCGCTGTGTCTGTGCCTGCGTGTCGCTCGCTGTGTCTGTGCCTGCGTGTCGCTCGCTGTGTCTGTGCCTGCGTGTCGCTCGCTGTGAATGTGCCTGCGTGTCGCTCGCTGTCTGTGCCTGCGTGTCGCTCGCTGTCTGTGCCTGCGTGTCGCTCGCTGTCTGTGCCTGCGTGTCGCTCGCTGTCTGTGCCTGCGTGTCGCTCGCTGTCTGTGCCTGCGTGTCGCTCGCTGTCTGTGCCTGCGTGTCGCTCGCTGTCTGTGCCTGTGTGTCGCTCGCTGTCTGTGCCTGTATGTCGCTCGCTGTGTCTGTGTATCGCTCGCTGTGTCTGAGGGAGTGTGTCGCTCAGGCTCTCTTTCTGTAATTGTGTGTGTCTCTGTGAGTGTGTCGGTAAGTCTGTGGGTGAGTGTGTGTCTCTGTGAGTCTCCCCCCCTCCCCCCCACCCAAGTGGGCCACCCAGTTTTTGTTAAAGAAAGCATTAATATTTTTTTTTTACGGCCATCTAATATGTGTTATTTCTTCATAGTTAGTTTTTATCAATAGTGAAAATATGTAGGTTAGTAGTAAAATAGTACCAATCAACCCCTCGCAATTTTTGGCAAAATTGGTCAAATTTCCCCACAGTTTTTGCCAAATATTTCCACAATTTTCTATTGGCCCCAGCTATAAGCAACACAATGGACAGAGGTGACACAAAGCTGCAAGCCTCTTTTATTTGATTCCCCAAAATACATTTTTCTTTTTTTTGTCACAATTTTTACAGTGTTCAGCAAGTAAAATGCCTTTCAGGGTTTTCTATACAATTCACAAGTATTTCTCTGAAACCACACCTTTTTACAGGAAATGTGCAACCATTTAATTCTCCAACTGCATTACTTACTATTGTAGGTATTGTATTCTGGGCCATATCCATAGTTGTTGTAGTTATACCCAGAGTAATCATAACCCCCATAGCCATTGTACGCAGGATTGCTGTAGCCATTATTATAACTACTATAACCTTGATTCCAGTAGCTGTTGTATCCCTGGTTCCAGTTCTGATTTTGCCCTAAAAAAAATAGCAACACAAACAACTTTGGAGTTTGTTCTACGACTCTTGTATGTCATGCCCCAGAAAGCTTACAAGAGACCCAATATACACCACAAGATATAAATGCCTGCCAGATAACAGCAAACAAATTTAATGCCAGGACTCAAGAAAGTCTACAAGAGACTACTTCTATACCACCTAAACAGAAAGTATTCAGAGGCTAAAAGCATTATATGTGTGTCTATCTGCAGGAAGATTTAGTGGCCCAGTGCAAGTGAACACAAAAAGCACTGCCTTTACTCAGCATGCCACTCGCCATTGTTGTCAGATGTCAACATTTAATGTGAAGGCACACCCCCTCGTGCAAAACCAAAAAAGCCTCACAAATAGTCAAAATTAAATTACACAGATAGCTTCCCGATTGAGGAAAATGTATTGAAAATAGTCTAGTCAACTACTGGGCAAATTGTAAAACTTTCAATTCTGGTGGCATTCTTCAAATGTGCTTTTGTAATTTATACACCAAGCGCAACACAACACTTGGAAGTACAGTCCAAATGATGGGTGGTTAAATGTTTCCAGCCAGGAACTACACACTTCTTAATTCTAATATGGCAATACAACATGTATTTAGAGAAAATAGCAGTCATTATTATGCAGGACCACAGTGAATTTCTACTGGTACAATCTTCCACCCAAGAAACTAGACCAGAGAGCAAGAGGAAGAAAGATTGCAAGAAAGACGGTGCTGTCTTGGGTTGTGCACAGAAAAAGATCAACTCTCACAGTCGTACCAATCTCCAACGAGTGTGAGTTACCACAAGCAGAACTTGAATCTAGGTCAGTGAATCTTCTTTGCCTATCCCCAGCATAAAAACAGTAACTGGAAGGAGATAAAAATTAACCTTAATTTGGTGGACTTAGTTGTACCCGTCTCCATGCAGGACACCTCAGAACAATTTACTTCATTGGAAATACAGACAGACTCCATTATGAAGCATTGTTTTAGATCCATAAACCCAAACATTGTATTACAATGAGGACACAAAGCCAACTTGGCCACTTCAACATTATTTCCTATGTACCGCTCGTAGGAGGTGTGACTCATGCCATTTCTTGAAAAATGACTGAAAATAATTCCCATAAGTTGCGCCCAGCACACAGGGAAGCCTGGAACCGCACTCTCTGGTCCGATTGATGACTGAGTTAGAACCAAACCTGCAATGGCAAGGTGCATTATAACAGGATTAGCCTGTACCTACCAATACCCTCAATGAACCACAGCTTTGTAAACATTCTGGACACCCAACTCAATATCACAGGGTCTTTATACCATTTACAGTAAAATTACAATATTTACTTTCCCTCTGATAAAGTTATGAAGCTGTTCACACCAAAGTAAACAATGCAGCAATCAGTGATGTCCACAACACAACATCTGCTACCGGAGATAGCCACAATTTTGGCCGCAGAAGGTTGAGAGGCTAAACCACTCACACCAACCATGCGTATTACAGTGAAGTGAGTTTTCAGAACCTGCACTGGGAAATAAACTGGATCGTTTCTAAAACATGGGAGCTGCAGGTGGCATTGCAGGACTGCTTCCTTAAGGCATTCTGCAATATAAATGCAACAGATAGATTTTCAAATGAATGCCATATATTTGATATGATGTTACACAGATCGATTAGATTTTTCTACATTCATAATTCAGCAATTAACATCTTCGTTCAAAACGGTATACGTACCTCATCCAACATAGAATTTCCTTTCAAGCAGGAAAAGACTAACCAGATGAAACCATTGACCTAGCCATGCATTCCTTTACTTTTCCAGTAAAGAAACCATTTGATGTTCAAAACCCACTTGTCAGGAAATGAACTTACCCCCTCTACCACGACCTCTTCCACCAAACCCACCTCCACCTCTGCCTCCTCGTTGCTGTTGCTGCCTGTAGACTTCCTTGGGTTGCGCCACTTTAATTTCACACTGTGAAAATTGTGAAGTCATAGGTCAAAGGAATTTATCAACTAAAAGCATCATTAAACAAAGGTTATTCTGTATTGCTCATTTTCTTAAAATGTAATTTTGCTCTTTAAGGAAAAAGATAAGCATAAGAAATAGAATCATTTGTGAAGCGGTTTAAGTAAAATTAAAAATATGGCACATTTGTCATATAAAAATATATATACACACACACTTGTACCACAAAGATTTATCCAGAAAATGTGTAAAATAATCATTTTATATGATATAGTGCTTCATGTTGCTGAGACGTCTCAAACCGCTTCACAGAATTTACTGTAAATTCTAGTGACTTTATTTGTAGACAAACACAGCAGTCAATTTGAACAACCAACGTTCCACAAACAGTCAAGAAGCACATGTCCAATGTTATCTAGGATTGTTGGCCAAAACACCAGAAGAAACATCCTTTTCCGTTCAAAAGATCTTTAACATCCACCTGAACAGGCAGATGGGAAATTGGTTTAATTTGAAGGATGGCATCTCTGACAGTGCAGCTTTCCCAGCATTGTACAGTGTTGGCCTGGACCATGAGCTCAGAGTCCCTACGTTGGGTTTGAACTCACAATCTGAGTCACAAGTGAGAGTGCCACTAACTGAACCAGGCTGACACCTTGATAGCCAGATGAATCTACTGAAACAGATACACATACAAATAAGTAAAGGTGCATGATTTATTAAAAATCAGACCATTCGACTTTCTACTCTGTTCACTTCTATCCCTCCAGTTGGCTCCCAATGTCTTGGCACCTAGCCATCATCACCAATGTGAAACCCACATCAAAGAGGCATACATTTCATTGTCCATGCCTTTGTCAACTCTCAGCTGGACTGCTCTAACGCCCTCCTCGCCGGTCTCCCCTCCACTATCATCCATAAAATCCAAATCATTCAAACCTCTGCCGCCCGCATTCTCACCCGCACGAAACTCCGCTCCCTGATCACCCCAGTCCTTGCCAGACTGCACTGGCTGCCTATCCCAGAGAGAATGATTTCAAGATCCTCACCCTTGTATTAAGTCCCTGCACTCCTCTGTACCCCCGACCTCTCTGACCTCTCTCCTCAAAACAGTACCCGTTGCCTTTGTTCCTCCGGTCTGGCCTCCTCCTCGTCCCCGAGTCCTCCACTCCACCCTCGGCGGCCGTGCCTTCAGCCACTATGCCCCGAGGCTCTGGAACTGCCTTCCTTCGTCTCGCTCCCTCCCTTCCTATTTTCAGGTCTCTGCTGAAGACCTTTCTTTTCGACCGCGCCTTTGGTTACCTTCCTCCCCCTCCCCCTGGCTCGGTCCCGGGATCCGTTACTGTGATGCGCTCTGAGACACCACCCAGCATGGAGGGCACTATATAAATCCAAGTTGTTGTTGTTATGGATCTAGGAGTATCCAAACAGTAAAAAATGTAAAATTGAATTTAGAAATAGAGCTGTTAAATGTTCTATGTGAATTGCTTAAAGGATCAGCAGTACAATATTAGGAATAGGAGGAGCTCATCTAGTCTGCTCTGACGGATTGTTAAATCACAGCAGATATTTTTAATCCTAGTTTCCCGCTTTAAAGGTATACCTCTTAATACACTAAGCAAATGGTGCTGTTCCTTGGTGTATTTTTAGATTGTCAAACAGTTCCATAATCAGTCAGTTCTATTACTAGCTGTGCTACTCATAAATAAGAGATTTCATGTGGGGCCCACTCATGTTGATCCACTGGAAGACTGAAAAAAGGACCATTCTCCCTTTGTCATCATAAACAATTCTGAAAGAACTAAGACAACATTGCTGCTTAGAAATCTGGAGGTGCAAAAACCGTAGGAGTAAAGGAACTCATTTTTATGGCATTTGTATGAAACAAATATTTGGGATAATTCCATGGACTAAAGAATGGATAAAAGGCAATCTAGTATACTTATTTCAACATTTTGACCTTAGTTGCAGCAGTTAGTCATTCATCAGATACAGCACGAGACAGAAGACATGCAACTAAGAAAAACATCAACAAGCATTTATATAGCTCTCTTCGTGCATCTCAGAATTTAAAGAGACATTGTGAAACCTTCAATCCCTTAAGATTATAAAAGCTCAAGGAGAAGATGGTCAAAACTCACACTAAGAAATAAAACTAGTTAATAAAACCCTTTGTCTACTGCTAAACCCCACCAAACAAGGTTATGATACATATGGAAAACTTAAACTTTTTTTAATGACATGCACTATGAAGAGGGTCCCAGCAATTTTTCATCCCCTAAAGAATAATCCTATTTGCACCTTATCACATCATCAAAATGGTTAAAGTGCTTTGCAGGATTTACTGTATAGTGATTGTGTACTTGTAAACATATTCAGACTAATGATTTCTCCATATTCTTAGTGAAAGTGCTACACAACAGTAACTTCTACTAAGCCCATTCTCATTGGAATATATTCACTTTCTTCCAGTGGTAATTGAACACACAATGGAGCCTGGAGGACAGGGTGGTGAGGAAGACAACACACAACAGACCTAAGGAGGTATTGTTACTTACACCAAGTTAAAAACATATTTTAAAAAATGACACAATACATAGCAATTTATTATTATTATTTTCTTGGGGGATGGGGGTGTGGGGGTTATCCGGGTGTCTGACGCACGTGGAAACCCATCACCAAGCTAAGAATATCCAAACCAAACATCCCCACTTCACCTGGAAATCCCAGAGATAGATTGTTGGAACGGAATGCGTACTCTCTCCCTGGAGGATCACATCCTGCTTACCTAATTCTGTAAAATACTAGGAGTAGGTTGGCAAGAGCCATGTCTTGGGGATCCTAGCTGTGCGTTGGGAGTACTGCTGGAGTCTTATCCAGCTAAAGCCATGTGGCTTACCATTGATAGCACTATCTGGCAAGCTTTCCCATTGTTTGTCCAGCTGGGAGCACCCTATAAGTTAGGATTTGGGCTTGCAGGGTGAACAGGAGCTGAGTGGGAGGATTCCCTGCCCCCAGTGGCTGGTCTGCCCTTCCAGGTCCTGCCGATGAGCCAGGCTGGCTATGCTGTTATCAGCAGTGCCCTGGAATACTGCAGATCTGTCTGGCTCAGGAACTACCAAGAATGCCACAAACCTTCTGGTGCCAAACATGTCAACTTCGAGCCAGTTCAGCTCCAAGGAGACACCGCTTACCTCCACATAGTAAATGATGAAAATAATATGTGGAGCACAACATTTCTTCACAGTGAACACACCCAAGACAAAAAAAACAATCAATATCTCTGTTCAGTTAAACCCTATGGGTGTGGTCTTGGGCGTGTACGAGAGAATAAAACTTTCTGGTTTGCCTTCAGGGAAGAGCTCATCACAACGCTGTCACTAGCAAGTTGTTCTTGGCAGGTATATCTAGGTTGGCGAAGTTCCTGGATTATTCAAAGAAATTGTTTTGGTGGATGTTATGTAAGTGCATTAAAAAGCATCAGTTGATAGCATTATGGTGTAATTAATGCACCATTTTTGAGTAATTTGTCCACTAATCTACGCCATTCTGTTGATGTGATGAATCAACCCAGGTTAACCCACGCCATTGGAGTTGGATGCTTCAGACCAGCCAAAGAAACACAGAACCCCTGGAAGACAGAATCTTTCTCACACCTGTATGATGGGACACAAACACTACACTATTATCTTAAGCAGTGTCTGTTTAATTTGTAGCCAAGGAAGCTCCATCAAACTGTAGACCTCCATCATGAAGGTGTGTAATTCACTGAGTAAACATCCCAAAGTCATATCCAAACAGCAGCATGGGATTCCCATCATTCCAATCCTCTAATATTTGAAAGCTGCACCCAGTTTGTAAGTGGAAGGCACACAAAAGACTTCCAACTTAACACTGTGCTTAACACAACTCCACCAAAGCAATATCAAAGCAAAATGCTTTGAGACGTCTCGAAGACGTGATAAGGCACTATATCAAATGTAAGGATTATTATTATTAATAAATGAAAGACAAAAAATTTAAATACTGTGCTCACCCAGTCAAAAAATAAAAACAGCCTAACGTCTATAACCCCCTCGATCATATCCTACAAACTCCTTGTTTTGTGAAACACCCAGGCAAGGAGAAACTATGCAATATGGTGAGGAAGAGATAAAGTTTTCAAAATGTTCTCTCTTGATTGTGGTGTGATCCAGAATTTCAAAGTCTTGTCGTAGCTGTCTTACGAGATTGGAAAGATTTCACAGCCACACAATACGTTTTAATCAATTTGTTCAGTGGCAGGGCTTATTAACTGAACGAAAGTTACTGCTTCATCCACAACATGAGAGGGAGTGGTCAGTCACTTCTGAAATCCTGCACACAATTTTAGGGAAAATACCACCAATCTCAATTTAGACCGCAGGTAGTACTCACAGAATATGGCACAAGAAAAAAAAACACACACCAACAAGATGACCATAAGTAAGCCTTTGGTCCCTACAAGTTTGACAACTCCACAAAAATATGATTTCCTGAAAATTACCAAATCAATTGCCATCAAGACTAACAGGAGAAATAACCATTTCTCAGTTATCTATGGGACATTGTTCTCAAGGAGTTTGGTCTTTGAGGTAAATTTACCCAAACACTTCAGAATGCAGGATCGATCCCACTACTCTTCCAGCCATCTCATAGATTTTCTCCTCAGATCTGCCTAATGTAAAAGGTGACTGAAATTGGGTCAACACCTCGAGTTTCCCATTATTTTGCTGTCCCTTCTTATTTCTAAAGGTGACACTACAATTTTGTGTTCACCATCTGAAAGCTTAACTACTATAGAATGGTACTTAAGAAGGCAGTAAAAGATAATATTTTTTCTGGATAATTGTGATTTAAAAAGAACTTGAATAAAGCGACAATCAGTAGGTTTATAAGCTTTATTGTTTATAAGCTGCACTGCCTTTTCACATGATTGATATACAAGTTTAAATAAATATTGAATCGTAAATGTCCTAGAGAATCATAGAATATTACAGCACAGAAGGAGGCCACTCGGCCCATCGTGCCTGTGCCGGCTCTTTGGAAGAGCAACCTAATCAGTCCTATTTCCCCATATCCTTGCAAATCAAGTTAAAATTAAAGGAACACACATCCAGACTTTACTAGTTGCACATCATACTGTACATGGCATAGCATAACCAAATAATGTTTTGAAGTAAGAAAGTTTGGCATACAAGCTTCAAGGTGCTTTTCACTAAAACCAACATAATATTACGTACTCCTTATATCAAATGATGAAAAATCTTACTACACATACCTTGCTAGATCCTACATTGTGATACTTGTTCTCCAAAAGCCGTTTTACTGGTTCTTCCTCCTTGAACGTGATGAAACAGAATCCTCTCCTCTCGTTTGTCTTGTTGTCGATGGGTAGCTCAATACCTTCAATCTGCAATGCAAAGTTCAACTACATCAAATTTGAGTGATCTGTTTCAGAATCTGAGTCAAACCTGATCCGTTCTCTGTTCATAATTTGCTTTAAAATAGTTTTTTTAAACAAATTTTCATTATAAATACCTTTTTGGCAAACATCAATCAGTAAAGAGCAATAATCTCCCGAATTTCAGTTTAAGAAAGCAAATTGAGCATTTTGTTGGTATTTGGGATGGTGCCCAATGTGTGCACATATCCACAAATGCAAATATTGCAATGTGTACATCAATAAATCAACTGTTTTGTTCGTACCCAGTATGTTTTCTACAGGGGAAGGTGATCAAAGGTATGGTTGAAGAAGAAAGACTTCAGGTGTGATTTGAAAATGGGGAAAAAGGGGGCAGATAGAGGGTTTGAGGCAAGGAGTTCTAGAGATTCAGGGGATAGTGGCTGAAGGCACAGCCTACAATGGTAGAGCAGAGGAGGTGAGAAACGTGCAGAAGACCCAAGCCAACTGAGTAAAGGCAGCGAGTAATGGAGTGGGATATGATCAGATTGGAGAGGTAAGGAAGCGCCAGGGCATAAAAGTGAGAGGCAGGGTCTTGAAATAAATTTAAATTTTCACCAAATTTACCTTATTGATGCAAAAATCTGCATCCCCTCTCTCCTCTGTAGACCACCAAACTCTTTCCCCCCCATCTAAAAATCTGGGGTTTTATTTGACGAACAAGAAACTACTAATGGTTCTTAGCTATCCAAAGTACATACATTCCCTCAGGGATTACTAGACAGCAATTAGTTGGGGAATTCTGGCTTACTTTCACCTCCCTACTCAAAAGATAGGATTTTAGCACCCTTTTTTGACAGCTGGGATATAATATAATTTAAATTTATGTAGCACCTTTCAGGTCGAGAAGAAGTCTCAAAGTACTTAACACCGCTGGCTGTGCACCTGAGCTGGGGGTGGAAGCTGAAGGGGTGGGGTGAGGAAAAGAAAGATGGCAAAAAGCATAGTCAAAGAGGTACACCTTGGGATAACCTCACTCAGCAGATAAGAGGTCAAACGTGCAACATCCCTGGTTAACATGGTTTAATGTCACATAATGCCTCACTGATCAAAAAAGCCATCACAATTTTTTTGATCACTACCTAGAGAAAGGGAATTCAATTTGTTGGGTCAATAATCAAACGCACTGTGTGCAGAGTCAACCACTACAAACAAATACTACCATAAAAGTAACTTCACAGACCAATCTTCATCTACAAAAGGCCATACATCAAACATGAGAATTAGATTATCATTAATCCCTTATAAAAAACGATTAAAAGAGCAGTATTTTAATGCAGTTACATTAAAACGATTCTCACTCAAATAACTGCTGCAGACATTCAGCAGTGGAGGGAGATGCTGAGATTTGAATCCATAGCATGTGGCTGGAAATGTGCTTCTTGCAAGACTAGGAATTCAAAGTGTGACTTGGTCACGTTAGACTGAAGGCTGCAACTGAGCACGAGAGGAATTTTTCATTGTAGCAAGACAGAAATACCCTATGAAAGGAAGTGTGTTAAGTGAAAGAATGTATTTAAGTCCTTCAAAAGCAAACAAAATGCTCTTTCTTTGAAAGAAGAAAGATTTTGAAAAATAAAACTAACTTCCCAGCTGGAAGATATTTCCTTAGTTATAAGACACATGTATTTGGGCTCTTGTGATTTTTCGTTTAAACTTTATGTATGAATGTATGGCATTATGAACAAGTGTGCATTTTAATGCCCAGTGTGCACTGTGCCTTTGTCAATTTTATGCACAAAACAATTTGAGAAAGAAGACAGTACAAAAAAGGTTTCAAGTATAACATTGGAACCTGGTTGCTGCCACAACTTGGGGCTGTAGTGTATCATAAAAAATATTTACAAATCATTGGTACAAATGCAAAGAGTTTGAAAATCCAATCTTCATTCAATAATGGCCCTTTAAAAATCTCTTAGTCAATCCACTGGTCACCTTAAAAATACTTAATTAAACATGTTTGACACAAACTGCCCTTCCTTTCTAATAAAGGGATAGTCTTGATTTTTATTCCTGATTTATTAAAATTTTACAAATCAACTGACAACGACAACTTAGTTGACAGTTGATCAAAGCATAGAAGAATCAAAACATTAGTCCAGAACTCTGTCAAAGATACATAGTACACCTGTCAATGTGATCCTCCAAATCTTACTGATGACTTCCCATAAACTTAAAAATAGAAACTGCCTCTATTTACTATGAATAGTAACCATTAACATTAACGTCTTTCTGCCAATGAGGCAATGAGTTATAAATTACCTCTCCGTACGCTCCGAAATAGTCCTTAACCATTTCTTCTGGTACATCAGGGCTAAGACCACCAACAAACACTTTCTTCGCTGGCTCCTTGCCCTTTAATGCTTTAGCTCGTTTAGGATCAATGAGTCTGCCATCCAGCTTGTGCTCTTTGAGTTCTAAGACCTGCAAGAGTTTAAGAAGTTAACATACTAAAGCTACAAGTTTCAATAATTTCCCCTACATATTGAAATGACAAGACTAATCACTGAAACCATTACTTAAAATAATCATCATTGTGCACCAATTGTGACCACAAACTTCAGAAAATCTAAACTGCATCTCTGAAGCTTCAAGTTCTTCCATTCTGGACTCTGCTTTAGTCCCAGTTTTTGAGCCTAAAAAGTTGAAGGCTCACTGACTCATGGTGAAAAGGTAAAAGTACTGGCTTTATTACATATCTGCCCCAAGAATATTTACACCATGTTCAAGGTACAAATCTTATTACCTTTAAATTTTTGATAAATTGCACTTTTGATAAATTCTCTTAAAGAAATTCACACATTCCTTTGTGCCGATAATCTCTGAAATTCATCATTTATTCTTTCATAGTGATAATATTTGCAACTAATTCATCACTTTTTTCTCCTCCCCCACCTTCAGTCTTAAAAAAGGTTCTAGCAACCATCTGTTACAAAGATATTCAATCTTCTGCACCAGAGGTCAGAGGTTCATGTACACAGTTGTGTACTTATGCCGCTGAGCTCTCCTTTCTTGTTCCTTGTTCTGATCTCATTGAAACAAGATTTCAAAAACAAATGGCATAATTACATAAATTATTCATTCATAACATTGATCTCTGCTGCACAAATATCAATGTCTATGACTGATTCAAGCTTTTTTAAAATAGTTTAATAGGTAAGTTTCTTCAAATCATACAGAGATATTAAAAAAAGTAATATCTTCTGGGCTACAATGGCCAATTACTTATTATTCACGAAGCATGAGCCAAAGAAGCTTACCCATGGAGGGGAGCAGTTCCTACCTCGATCCAAAATATATTTTTTCCCAGCGGGGATCAATATCAGAAAGCACATTTGTGTACTTAAAATGATCACATCCGCTCTTTACTCACCTAGCTTCCTGCCAATTAGTCATGAACTGGGTGAAAAGCAGAGGTCAGTGCCACAAGAACACAAACTGCACGCTTCTTGGTATCATTCCCTGCTGACAACAAATATCTTCAAAATCGATCGAGTTTTGAACAATATTCTCACAGGTAAGGTTCTACAGTTTATACGTACAATATGGATAATGTTTAAGTAAAAATCACTCAAGTTCTAAAACCTCATCCGAAGTATTGGTTTCCGTGGGTCTATCGATAAGGATTCATCTTTATCACAAGATATTTTGATCATTATGCCCAACAAATATAATATACACACATACATATGTTGTTTAAAAAACAATAATAAGACGCATATGGAACATTCTCTTTCCATAAAGTTGCAAACACAACAATTATGGATGACCCCAAGTGCAAATCAAAAGGAGAGAAATATTGTAAGGCAGTCTTCCAAATCAGGCTGGTTAACACTACCAATACTTGAATCGTGAATAGTATTAATTATGCAACTGAACAGAACACCTCAATAAAACACACTAATAACTACTGTAAACAAAGGAAGTGAAAAAATGAGTTTCTTTAGGTTATTTGGTTACAAAGATCTTCAGATTTTCAAGGAAGTGTTCATATACATTTGTAGAGTGCAGTTTTGAACATGCCAATGCAATTTAAGATAAATAAATGAACAACCATTTTGTAATCTTCAAACTACAAAACAGTAAGTAAAAGTAATTTACCCTGTCCACACTTGCAGGCTCTCTGAATAGTACAAAACCAAATCCTCTTGATCGCCCAGTAATGGGGTCCATCTTTATGGTACAATCCACTACTTCACCAAACTTGGATAAGTAATCTGTCAAATCCTTCTTGCTGGTATCCCAGCTAAGACCCCCAATGAACATTTTTCTGTGGACAACAATATTTTTGAAAAAAGATTATTATTGTTGTTTTAACACGTGTAACTACATTACAAAATTAATACTCATGTACAGTACCCACTAATGCTGCTCAAATTATTTCACCGTGTGTGTGTGTGTCCCGTCCCCCCCCCTCCCACCCCCTTTGATGATAATGTGCAATTTGCATTTTTAAATGATCGCTGAAACGTGTTCGTGTTCTAATATAAAACCTAACATTTGCATTCGCCTGTCCCTGGCCAAAATTATCTCCCCTTCCCCCTCATAACAAGTATAAATCTGTAACCACTTAGATCTCTCCTCTGCAAACGTGTCGGTGCATAATAGATGGAAGCAAGGGTGGGTGCCTCAAACTCTTTGGAGGAGGAGGAGGTTGCTTTAAAAAGAAACTGTCTAGCTCAGCTAGTGCTTCACACGATCATTTGTTTTTATGAACACACACACAAACACACACACAAAAAAAAAGGAAAAGGGGGAAAAAAAACACCTCATTACAAACGAACACACCTGGCGCGCGCGCGCGCGAGTGCGTGTGTGTGTGTGTTTAACCCCCCAAAAAAGGGGCAGATTTTTTAATTATATATATATAAAGAAAGAAGCGAGACAGAGAAAGGGGAGGAGGGGAAAAGGAGGTCACATCACTGTGTAGAGCTGAGTCAATGCGCCACGAATCAAAATCCACACAGAAAAAAAAACACACACACACACACACACAACAGACAGATACAGATAGAGACGGACGGGATACACCGGGGACTGTGGAGAGGGCCAGTGACTGACTGAGTGACTGACTGTACCCCTCCCCTCACCCCCACCCCATAACATTATAATCTAATAATAAAATAATAGCCCGGGCCCGGGGGGGGGGGGGGGGGAGGCCGGGCCAGGGGGCCGGGCCAGGGGGAGGCCGGGCCAGGGGTGGGGGGGGAGGCCGGGCCAGGGGGGGGGGAGCGCCCCCACCCCACCCGCACCGGGGTGTGTATCTAACAACCACAGTAATCACACCGCCCGCTCACACCCTGACAGCACAGGGGCCGGGACAGGGGGGACCGGGACAAAGACCTGGGCCTCTCTCCCTCCCTCTCTCCCTCTCGCTCACCCCTCGTCCTCCTCGTTCTTGCTCGCGTTTATTTTGGCTCCTTCGGGGAACTCGTCTGTCGCCGCCATGGTCTGCTCCATGAGGCCGCCGGCGGACGAGGGCGTGTAATCGTACTCGGAGTCCATGGCGGCCCGGGGTGTGTGTGTGTGTGGGGTGTGTGTGTGTGTGTGCGCGAGTCTGTCTCTCGGGGTGTGGGTGCTGTGTGCGGGGGGGGGCGGGTGGGGGTGGGTGGGGGGCGGGGGTTTGGGTGAGGCGGGGCGGGGTCGGGTCGGGTTGGGCGGGGCGGGTGCGGGGGGGGGGCCGGGCCGGGCCGGGCTTTGGGGGGGAGGGGGTCGGTCTCGGCGTCGCGGACGTTACAAAATGGCGGCGTTGTCGGCAGGAAGATCCGGGCATTTCAGCCCCGACCCCGCCCCCCCCCCCTCCTCCCCGACCCCGCCCCCCTACGGGCTTTTTAGGTCCGGCACGTGACCTCCCCGGTCCAGCCAATCACGCAGCCAGTCAGCTTGTCAATCACCGAGCCGGGAAGTCAATCAGTTTCACTCACTCACTCACTCACTCTCTCTCACTCCATTCACACCTGTGCTGTGTGCCCTCACCCCCACCTGTCCTACCTGTCAACCCTGCGAACCAAAGCCCTGCAACAGGTAGGCTGGTCTCCGCTAGACCGGCACTGGGAACGCTTGCCGGACAGCAATACCAACGGCGAGCTGCACGGGTTCAGCTGGTTAGACTCCGGCAGTTACCCCAATGCACGCTCTGGGGTCCCCAAGCCTTGGCTCCGGCCAGCCTGCGCCTAATCCTTTCCGGAATTAGGTAAGCAGGATGCGTCCCCTCCGGGGAGAGAGGGTGCACGTTCTGTTCCAGCAATCCGTCTCCGGACCTTACACGTGTAGGTGGGATGCATGAATATCTCAGCTTGGTTTGGGTCCTATTATTATTAACAATAACAACTTGGATTTATATAGCGCCCTCCACGCCGGACGGCGTCTCAGAGCGCTATTAAGCACGGTGATGGGTTTTCGCATGCGTCAAGACACCTGACCGACGCCCCCCCATTAAAAGCAATATACATTTGTAACCATATTTATATATTGAAAAACACAGCAGTTATACATTTATTTAGAGGTCAACATTGCAAATTGTTGACATAGTATGGAAATCATTTTTGAATGTATTACAGCACTTAAATTTTACAACAATCACTGCCAATTTATGGGGCTTTTAAACCAACAATTGAAAAGAACAATATATATATATAAAAAATATGTTTTCTGATAAATTAATTGACTTATTTTTTTGCCCCTTTCTAAACGCCCCCCTCAAAGCACTGGGACGTAAGCGAGCAAGAACATTTCAGATGATTTCTGTAATCTCCACCTCCTTGTAGTTTCTGTCGGCCAAACAGTATAAGTCTGTCCCTTTAAGGTTGGGTGTCCTGTTTGCAGCCTGTGGAGCGGAGCGACCCATGTCTTTGTGTCTCAGTGTGCATTGCAGGGCTCTGCATTCAGTGCCATGCCGGTAACTGTGCTTTTACTGGACATTGAAGGCACCACCACGCCCATCTCTTTTGTACAGGTAAAGAGGCAGAAGGGGCAACAAGTGGGTTTGCAATATTTTAATCAGGAATGAGTGGATTGTAAGTCAGGCTCAGCAATCAGTTTTGCAGCTTCTGAGCTGGAACTACTTCCCATCATGTGCTGCTGCTGCTCTACTGTGGAGGAAGTGCTTGCAGCACTGGCACTGATGCATGGGTGATATATATATAATATATATATACACACACACACCATCGCAATAGCCATTTCCAGTCTCCCTCAAAGGAATCTTAACCGTAACCTACCGTTTATTTAAATGCAAGTACTTTTAGTATTTTTACTCTCTGCTTTCAAAACTTCCTTAATAAAACTTTATTAATTGCCTGTACCACTGTTAGCGCTTTGAGGAATTATTTTACATGAATGGTGCTATATTACAGCAATAATAGTGTCCTGCAGCTTAGTGGTTTGAGCACTCGCCTCACAAGCGAGAGGACCTGGGTTTGATTCCTGGGCAGGGCGAAACGTTTCTCTACGCGCCTCTGTTTACCTAGAAATTAAGTATGAACCTGGTTGTTAGTTGTTTGGCGGATCACTTTTCCTGGGGTAATAATTCCTTCAAAAAAATTAATAATTTGGTCACTCAATCCACAATTGTGGGGCACTGCTGTGCGCAATTAGCTGTCGCATTTCTCCCACAAAATACAGTCAATTCACTTTCCAGTATATTCTGTGAAGTGCTTTGAGACGTCTCGAAGATGTGATTATAATGTATAAAAATAATCCTTGCACTTGTTGATGTTGTTGGGTGCTAAAAGTCCCATGGCACTATTCGAAAAGAGAAAGGAGTTTCTTCCGTTGTCTTGTCCAACAATAACCCCCCACCCCACCGAAATACAATTGGTCACTCATTTCATGGCTGTTTGTGGGACATTGTTGTGCTCAATGTGCTGCCGCGTTTACCTACAAATACACAGTCACTCCATTTCACACTAAATCGTGTGAAGCGCTTTGAGACGTCCTTCTGACGTGATAAATTGCTATGGAGCCCTGTATACATAGCAGTAAGTAGGAACCCGTTTTTTAGTCGATTGGTGGATTACTTTTCCGGGGGTAATAATTCCTTTAAAAAAGAGAAAAATTGGTCACTTCAATACATAACTGTTTGTGGGACACTGCTGTGTGCAATTGGCTGCTGTGTTTCGTCCACAAAATAGTCAATTCACTTTACAGTATATTCTGTGAAATCCTTTGAGACGTCTCGAAGACGTGAAAAGGCGCTATATCAAATCCAAGGATTATTATATCAAATGCAAGGGTTACTATTAATATTACAGCGTCTTTCATGTTAGGATTGCTTCGCAAGATATACTGCAAAGTCTGTTTTGTGGGCAAATGTGGCTGCCACTTCGCACACAACAATATCCCATAAACAGTCTGGAGTGAGTGACCAAATTTACTTGGATTGTTGGTCAGGACACCAAGAGAAATTCCCTTTTCTTTTTGAATAGTGACGTGGGATCTTGAATATTCACCTGAACAGGTGGACAGGGCTTAGTTTAATGTCTCATTTGAAGAATGCATCTCCAACGTTGCAACAACCCCAGCATTGCAATGGAGTGTCGGTTTAGAATTTCAAGTCCCGGTATAGGTCTTGAACCCATAACCTTCTGATCAGGTGAGAGTGCCACCAACTGAGCCAGGCTGACACATGCATATAAATACATCTTGTTATTGTCTACTCTGTACGTTAACCTGAAGTCCCGTCTGCCTGGTCAGGTGGACATTAAAGATCCCATTGCATTATTCAAAAAGAGAAGGGAGTTTCTCCCGAGTCCTGGCCAACAATCACCCAAGTAAGATTGGTCACTCACTCCATGGCTATTTGTGGGACATTGCTGTGTGCAAAAATTAGTTGCCTCTTTCACCAACAAAATACATTCATTCCACTTGACAGTATATTGTGAAGTGCTTTGAGACGTCTCAATGACGTAAATGCAAGGATTATTATTGCAATGTGAAAACATTTTGTGGAAAACTGTGCATGTATACAGTATACATAGTGTATTTCTCTTTAATCGTAAGGTCTTTGCAATTTCTTTTTTTATCAGGATGTTTTGTTTCCTTATATCAAAAAACACGTGAAGGGATATCTCCAGGAGCACTATGAAGAAAAGGAGTGTCAGGAGGACATTCAGCTTTTGAAAAAACAGGTAAATCCAACTCATAATAATAATATTATTGTGGAGTCCTGTAGCTCAGTGGTTAGAGCACTCGCTTTGCAAGTGAGAGACCTGAGTTCAATTCCAGGCAGAGGGCGAAACCTTGGGCAAGTTTCCTTACTCCACACACCTAATAATAATCCCTCCAAAAAACCAAAAACAATAATTAAATTGGTCATTTTCAATCTACGACTGTTTGTGGGACATTGCTGTGCGCAATTGGCTGCCGCGTTCGCCCACAAATATACAGTCAATTCACTTTACAGTGTGTTCTGTGAAGCGCTTTGGGACGTCCTCCTGACGTGAAAAGCGCTATATCAAATGCAAGGATTATTATTGTATTATTATTAATAATCCTTGCATTTGATATAGTGCCTTATTACGTAGTTGAGACATCTCAAAGCGCTTCACAGAATATACTGTAAAGTATATATTTTGTGGGCAAAACGCGGCAGCCAATTGTGCATGGTAGCAGTGTCCCACAAATAGTTATGGTTTTTGTTTGGGGTGGGGGAGGGATTATTACTTCAAAAAGCTATCCACCAATCAACTAACAACTGGGTTCATACTTACTGCTAGGTAAACTGAAGCGTGTAGAGCAAGGAAACTTGCCTAACATTTCACCCTGCCTGGAAATCGAAACCAGGTGCTCTCGCTTGCGAGGCCAGCTTGCTAACCACTACGCTCTTGTTGCATTGAGCAAAATGTGGATTTTGTGAGCTGAACAGAATCTGCATTAAATGTAATGAATGCATCCCTATTTACATTAGGCTTGGCATCCAACACTTGGATTCGACTCATTTTTACTTTTGCTGGAAAAGTAGCAAATGGGAAGTGGCTACCTTCTGGTCCCTGGCCCTAGTGACAATTAACATGCTTTGAAAGCTTTTGCAATCGGGCATGGTTCCGTGTTGTAGTGGTACAAGACCCTAATCTGCGTAAAGGGCGCTATGTAAATTCAAGTTGTTGTTCTGTTCATTAAAGGCTGCAGATGACCAGCGATTACTGCAGGTAGCAGCCCCACCTCCAGACTCGCTCTTGGGAGAGAATGCGAGCAAAGAGCAGGCGATTGAGGAAGTGGTCGACAATGTCTTGAGGCAGATGTCCCAGGACAGGAAGACGACTGCTCTGAAACAGTTACAGGGTCACATGTGGAGGGCAGCCTATGCGAGCGGAGAAGTGAAAGGAGAGTGAGTATTTTTAAAAAAAAATAGAAGTGTGTCTGACAGCTGTGTAGGAAGCTATAATAATAAATAATAATCCTTGCATTTGATATAGCGCCTTATCACATCTTCAAGATGTCTCAAAACCCTTCACAAGATACACTGTAAAGTGAAATGACTGTATATTTTGTGGGCAAAACGTGGCAGCCAATTGCGCACAGCAGATTAAAAACACAGCTATGTGGTTTTAGCTGGTTAAACTCCAGTTGTATCCCAATGGGTTCCCCAAGCCTTGGCTCTTGCCAATCTGCACCTAACACACAGGTTAAACACAGAGGCAAAAAAATAATTGTTTCACTGACAAAACACTTTTTTAAAAAAAAATAGCATGTGTAAACCTTTAAAGATTCTTTCAAAAAGTCTTTATGTCATATCCATTACTCTTCCTTCCAAACTTTATTTTGCTCACCCTCTCTCTAATTTCTCACCTCCTTTATGAATTTGCTTTCCCTCCACTAAGTTTCTGTGTCAACAACAACTTGCATTTATATGGTGCCTTTCATGTGGGATAGGCTATACAAATGAAAATTCTTGTTAAAAATACAGACCCTATTTACTGATTTCCCTGCCAGTGGAAGTAGCCTCTCCCTGTTTATTCTTTCAAACCCCCTCATCATTTTGTGCACCTCTTTCAAACTTCTCTGCTCTAATGAAAATAGGCTGAACTTTTCCAATCTCTCCTCATAACTAAAGCCCCTCACCCCCGTTAACATTCTTATAAATTTCCAGCAAGTATAGCCTTACAGCATGTGGGTCAGTTTGAATGATTCATCTCTAAATCTAATGACTAAATCTTTTTAAATTTGTTGTAAATTGTCTAGTTTCTTTTCTGAAACCAGTTATATTTCTACTTCTTTTTAAATGTGAGTCAGGGTGTATGAAGATGTTGTTCCAGCTATTAAGGAATGGAGGAAGGCGGGAAAGAAGGTGTACATCTACTCCTCTGGCAGTGTGGAGGCTCAGAGACTGCTCTTTGGACACTCCAGCGAGGGAGACCTGTTGGAGGTAGGAGACAGGTGGCCTGGTGATAGCACTGGTGGTCAACCCCACGGACTCTGGCCTGTTCCACATCCCCCGTCCTTCCAACCCCACCATTGGTGGTCGGGCCTTCAGTCTTTCAGCCCCCACACTACGGAACTCAGTCCCACAATCTTTTTGCCTCACTCTCTACCTTGCCTCCTTGAAGATCATTCTCAAGACCTTCCTCTTCGACCACACCTTTGGTCACCCTCCTACTACCCCCGCTCTCCCTGCCCTCCACCCCTCCTGATCCCAAACCTCAGCTCGGCTGCACATCCCTGACTGTCCAGCGATTTGGGATGCCCTCCCAATGTGAAAGGCGCTTTACAAATGCAATTTGTTGTTGTTGCCAATAGCACAATACATTCTGTGAATAACATGTATCCATCACCCCCTAGTGGTCAAGTTGGATCAATGCATTTGGTTGGAACTGAGCCATGAAGAGCAGGAAAGACCAAAAAGTTTCATTTTTATATTTCCTTTTACGTTGAACTATCTCTTTATATTAATTACTGTACAGTGTAGTGACTTTCTTCTGTAGGCATATGTAGCAACCATTTTGTGCAAACAGACAATTAATCTGGAATATTGATAGCCAGAATACCAGCAAAAAGTTTTCTTTTTAAATATAATAATAATCATTGTATTTTTTATAGCGCCTTATCATGTCTACAAGATGTCTCAAAGAGCGTAACAGAATACACTGTAAAGTGAATTGACTGTATACTTTGAGGGCGAAACGCAGCAACAAATCGTGGGATCTTTACAACAACTTGTGTTTATATTATGCCCTTCATGCAGGGTAGCATCTCAGAGCGCTTAACAGTGGCAGAGCTTGACACTGAGCCGGGGAGAGAGGGCAGGTGACCGTAGGCACAGTCAAAGAGAGAAGTCTTCAGGTGTGATCTGAAGACCAGCAAAAAGGGGGCAAGGTGGAGGGATTGAGCCAGAGTTTCGGGGCATAATGACTGAAAGCACAGCAGAAGGGACAAGGGACGTGCAGGAGGCTGGAGCCAGCTGAGTGAAGGTAGAGGAGTGGGGTGTAAGCAACTGGTAAACCTAGGGAATTGTCAGGGCATGACGTGATTTGTACGTGAGGATCTTGAAATCAATCTGTTCTGCAATAGGGAGCCAGTGGAGTCTCGCAAGGACTGGGATGATGGGTGTGTGGGTTTGGTATGGGTGAGGATACAGGTGGTGGAATGTTGAACTAATTGGATTTTATAAATTATGGAGTTGGGCAAAGTGGCAAAGGAGGCCATTGGAAAAATTGAGGCGGGAGGTGACAAAAGCATGGATAAGGTGTTGGGTGTGAGGTCTTTAACATCCACCTGAGAACAGGCAGGCAACTGAAAATTGCAAAGATCCCTCAGTGCTGCACTGGAGTATCAGAACCTGAGCTCACAGTTTTGGTTGACATTGAGCTTGAGAACACAATCTTTTGACACAGAGGCAAGAGGGGTCACCTCCTGAGCCAAGGTGACATCTAGGATGTCTGATTTTTTTCATTTAGCTGACGAACCAAGGCTACAATTAACCTCTGTGTTTTGGGGCTAAGAAAGAGGGGAGTACAAAATCAGACATCCATTGCCTTTTGATGAAAAGTGTGCCAAGTGTGAGGAGAGGATTGGTCTCAGCAGTGCATGGTACTGTCCCAAGCATTAACCTCTTAAGGTTTGTCTTGTTAGAGGGATAAGCAGTTTGAGCTTGGCCTCTATACATGCTCCTGGAGTACACAGGTATAATAATAATAATCCTTGTATTTGATATAGAGCTTTTCACGTCTTCTAGATATTCACAGAATATGATGTAAAGTGAATTGACTGTATATTTGTGGCAGCCAATTGCGCACAGCTGTGTCCCACAAACAGTCATGGATTGAAAATGACCAATTTATTATTGTTTTATTTTGGAGGGATTATTATTTGACGTATGAAGTAAGGAAACTTGCCCAAGGTTTCGCCCTGCCTGGAATTGAACCCAAGTGTCTCGCTGGCAAGCCGAGTGCTCTAACCACTGAGCTGCAGAACTCTGAATATCTAGGTTTACAACTATTTAAAACCACTTGGGAGTTACGTTCAAGAGGGAGATATTGATCTGGGGTTTAATTGCATTAATGACTAGAAATACCAGACCTGACTTGAAATACACAAAGTACACATCTGGCATGACTTTTGCCTCATTTCCTCTCCTGTGGTCTTGCATCACATTGCTGGCTCCAGCTGCAGTGAGTATGGAGAGCGGTTACCTGGCCACTTTCAGCACTGCTCTGCGGGTGGCCACTTGGAGGTGAGCAAGAGCAGCTTGAATGAGCGAGTCAGTATCTAACCTCACAGTGCTCATAATAGCACAATAGCGATCGGGAAGTCGTCATGTGAGAAATTGTGATCCTGCCTATATAATGTGACTTTGTTTTCCCCTCCTCTCAGCTCTTCAACGGCCATTTTGACACCAAGATTGGATCCAAAGTAGAAATGGAAAGTTACAAGCAAATTGCACAAAGCATTGGCTGCTCCACGGACACCATTCTTTTTCTAACTGATGTGACCAAAGGTATCAATATTTTTTGAAACATTTTTTTTGACGATTCTCTCAAACACTATTTACCAAGTGCCCTTTGGGACATTACAGCAAAATGGTCTTGGCTCCATTGATGACTCCTCAGCTATTTCTGCATCAAATAATTGAGTCTGGGATCAAATGCAAGGCAACAATTTCAGCAAGACACTTACCTGATTTAAAGAGAAAGAACAAAGATTGAATAGTTCAGAACTCCTGAAACCCCAGGGCAAGATTAATGGCTTGGGATCTCACTACACAGTGCTTCTAATAACATATAGAATGATTATGGTAGTCATAATCGATGGGAACATTGCAGTCTGTGATCAGAGTGCTGTCATTTTGTAAGTGGTGGAAGGTGATATGAGTTCAAATCACAGGAAGAGTTTTTAGAAGTGAATAATTTTATTTGTTTTAACTCAGTTATGAAAGATTGGATTCTCTGAGTGAGCAGATGAGTGCTGAGATTGGCCATGAGATCAGTCACTGTGTCAGTTACACAATACAGTACAAAACACTGGTGGAGAATCCAGCACTTTCAATATTTTACGCACAAATATTTTAAGCTGTATAGGAATAAATATAGGAATATATTTGCTACGGGACAATCGAGAAAGGTTCACTCAAAGGCTTCTTTATCAGCTGATACTGTGAGCTCAGTGTAGAGCAATGGGATGTATCTTATTTTAGTTGTATTTACTTCTTCAGTCATTTCCTCTTTCAACTGAGGATGCTGCCTCCCGCTTGGGTGCAGATCAGTGGATGCCCATCACACTTTTTGTGAGTCTAGACACAAGTGATGGTGGGGTGATCAACTGCAGGGGCATAACAGCAAAACCCGATCCTGTTCTCACCTATTGTGCGCCCATACATGTTCCGGCAGTAAGGAGGGAGCTAGGTAGAAATACGTATATATATGATTAGAATTTATTACAATTACATTTAACATAACATGTAGAAGCAGGAGTAGGCCATTCGGACCTTCGAGCCTGCCCCGCTATTCAATCATGGCTGATCTTCTAATCTAACTCCAGCTAATAACCTGACCCTGCCTTATCCCCATATCCCTTAATCCCTTTTGCAATAAGAAATCTATCTATCTCAGTCTTGAATATGTTCAAGGACTGAGTGTCAACAGCCCTTTGGGGTAGTGAGTTCCATACATTCACTACCCTTTGAGTGAAGAAGTTCTTCCTCAACTCAGTGCGACAGGGCTGGCCTCTGATTTTAAGGTTGTGACCCCTGGTTTTAGTTTCTCCAACCAGGGGAAACAATCTCCCACTATCTACTCTATCATGCCCTTTGATGATCTTATAGGTTTCTATAAGTTTCCCTCTTAATTCTTCTATATTCTAGAGAATATAGGCCCAAATTGGTCAGCCTATCCTCGTAACTCAACCCCTTCATCTCTGGTAATAACCTGGTAAATCTACGCTGCACCCCCTCCAAGGCAAGTACATCCTTCCTTAAATAAGGAGACCAAAACTGCACACAGTATTCCAGGTGTGGTCTCACCAGGGTCCTATACAGTTGCAGAAGACTTCCCTACTCTTATACTCTAATCCTTTCATAATGAATGCTAACATACCGTTCGCCTTCCTAATTGCTGCTGCACCTGCAGACCTTCTGTGATTGGTGTACAAGGACACCCAAGTCCCTCTGGACGCTGACACATTCCAATCTCTCCCCTTCTAAAAAAATAACCCGCTCTACTGTTTTTGCTATCTAGGTGGATGACTTTGCACTTCCCTACGTTATACTTCATCTGCCACCTACCTGCCCAATCACCTAACCTATCTATGTCTCGCTGCATTTTTTTAATGTCGTCCTCTGCGTTGACACTTCCTCCTAGTTTTGTGTCATCCGCAAATTTAGATATATTAACTTCGATGTCCTCATCATGATCGTTGATGTAGATGTAAATAGCTGAGGCCCAAAAACTGATCCTTGTGGCACTCCACTAGTCACATCCCGCCAATCTGAAAAGGACCCGTTTATCCCTACTCTGTTTCCTACCCGTTAACCATTTCCCAATCCACGTTAATATGTTCCCCCCAATTCCATGGGCCCTTAACTTTTGGACTAACCTTTTATGCGGCACCTTATCGAATGCCTTCTGGAAGTCCAAATAGACCACATCCTCTGATTCACCCTTATCTAGTTTACTGGAAATATCCTCAAAAAACTTTGAGATTTGTCAAACATGACTTCCCTTTTGTAAAGCATTATTTATTTTTTGTCTAAGTTCCTTACCTGACTTGCTACAGCTAGATACCAGGTTACAAGAGCCTGAATTAGGACCAACAACAAAATTACATTTGTATATCATCTTTCATGTTGGGAGTACGTCCCAAGGCACTGAACAGTCAGTGTTTCGTACCCGAGCTGGGGGTCATGATCGGGAAGGGTGGAGGGCAGGGGGAGGAAGGAGGGTAACCGAAGGCACGGTCGAAGAGGGTCTTGAAGGAAGCAAGGGAGGGGACAAGGCGGAGAGACTGCGGGATTGAGTTCCAGAGGGTGGGGGCAGAGTGGCAAAAGGTCCGCCTGCCAATGGTGGAGCAGGCGAGGACATGAAGCAGGCCGGAGCCTGCTGAACAGAGGGAGCGGGCAGGTTGGTAGATGGTAAGGAGGTCGCAGAGGTGGGGGGGGTGCAAGGCCATGGAGGGCTTTGAAGGTGAGGACCAGGATCTTGAACTGTATCCTCTGTGTAATGGAAGCCAGTGGAGTCGGGTGAGGATGGGGGTGATAGGGTCACAGAGCCTGGTGCGGGAGAAGATACAGGCTGCAGAGTTCTGGATGATCTGCAGCCTATGGAGGGAAGAGTTGGGAGGCCGACAGGCAGAGGGAGTTTGTGTAATCCACCCTGGATGTTATGAATGCATGTATGAGGGTATGAGCTACTAAAATATTACTGAAACATTGTTTTAAGCTTGCAAGAAATGAATATTTAAAGGGATGTTTTCTTTAAAGGAAAGATTTCTTTTTGCAAACAATATTCCATTCTTATGGCAATCAGGCAATCTGCTTGTTCTTTCAGAGACCAGCATTCAAATTAGGCATTATACAACCCAACCTTTCAGGAACCAGTAACAGAAATATAAACAATGTGTGCCTGTTTGCAATAATAGGAAAAAAAGTTTAGCCTTAACTATTTTTTTAAAAAATTCCTCTTTAATCTGAATAACCAGGTAATTTGACTTGTTTTTTTCACCCATCAGAGGCAAGAGCTGCAGAACAGGCAGGGCTTCACGTGACCATTGTGGTGAGACCTGGAAATGCTGAGCTGACAGAAGCAGAAAAGTCATATTACAAATGCGTCACTTCCTTCAGCGAAGTGCTCTGACCTGGTTAGAGTCGCAGAGGAAATGAAAGCTAAACCGCTCCTTAAAATAGGACAACCTCTTCTGCAGCCAAACAACAACCTGCATTTATATAGCCCGCTTCGCACGGGACAGTGTCTTAGAGCACTTAAAAGTCATACAGATCAGAATGTGCAGTTTGCTATTCCTGCATGAAGTGGGGATTCCTCCTAATAAGAGGGACTCGCAGGAAACCTTTCAGACTGAAAGTTGTTTTGCACTGAGCGCTTCAGCATGGCATCTGATTCTGCTCCACGCTCAAAGTAAAAAATAAATCCTCACATTTGATGCCGCAACTGTTCATTTTGACACGTGTCCAAGAACTTTGCACAATAAATTGCTTTGAAGCATAGGAGGGAGCTGTTGTGTTATAGAAGCCAATCTGTGCCAGCAGCTTCACACAAACAGAATGAATAATTTACTCTTAACATGAATTTTGGAGGCGGGGGAAAATATTGGCCAGACCAACATCCCTGGTCTCCTTCGCAATAGTCCAACGCCATCAACCTCTCCTTGTCCACCAGTTCAATTCCTACCCCCCTAAAAACACCCGTCATCACCCCCATCCTGAAAAAACCTTCCCTGGACCCATCCCTCCTCTCCAGCTACCAACCCATCTCTAACCTCCCATTCCTCTCCAAGGTCCTGGAACGAGTCGTCGCTCCCAGCTCCGCTCCTTTCTTTCTCGCCATTCCCTCTTTGAACCCCTCTAATCCAGCTTCCGCGCTGCCCACAGCATGGAAGCAGCCCTGGTCAAAGTCAGAATGATATTCTGGACATCTGTGATCAGGGCTCCCTCTGCCTCCTTGTCCTCCTCGACCTCTCTGTCACCTTCGACACTATTGACCACTCCATCCTCATACACCGCCTGTCCTCTTTACTTAACCTTCACGGATCTGCCCTTGCCTGGATCAAATCCTATCTCTCTCACCATCTCCACTTTGTTGCCTTGGCCCTCTCCTCTTTAATATCTGTATGCTCCCCCTTGGTTACATCATCTGCAAACATGAGGTCAACTTCCATATATATGCGGATGACACCCAACTCTATCTTTCTGCCTCCACCCTCAACTCCAGGACCACTGCTGTCCTGACAGACTGTCTGTCGGACATCAAGTCCTGGATGAGGGCAAATTTCCTACAGTTGAATGTGAACAAGACTGAGGCCCTCCTGATTGGCTCACGCCAGCGCCTCAGCACCTCAGGCTCTGGCAGCATCAACCTCCATGGTTGCACACTACAACTCACCAGCCAGTCAGGAACCTGGGTGTCTTGTTCGACCCTCAACTCTCCTTCCCCACATTCAAGCCATGACCCGCTCTGCCTTCCCTCACCTCCGTAACATTTAAGGCCTCTGATTACTATCTAATGACTCCTTTGGAAAGTAGAATAATAATCCTTGCAATTGGTATAGTGCCTTATCACATCTTCAAGACATCTCAAAGCACTTCACAGAATATACTGTAAAGTGAATTGACTACATTGTGAGTAAAACATGCACTTGTTTAGATGTCAGATGAGGACAGAATTGGGATCAGCTTTGGTGCCTCCTTTACTCACTGCCACTGAGCACTGCTGCGATAGCTTCAATTTATTGTCAATCAGGACTCCCAGGCCCTTTTCATTTCCCACAATTATTTTCTTTCCAATCTACTAGAATCAAAGAAATTGCAGCAGAGGCCATCAAAGACTCATTAAAACTAGGCTGGTGCCACCTTCTCCACTAGATCTATTTCCCAGGACTTCCCACATGCCTTTTATATTTTTTCTTCAAATACTGATCCAAATACTCGCTTTGCAAGCGAGAGACCTGAGTTCAATTCCAGGCAGGGCGAAACCTTGGGCAAGTTTCCTTACTCCACACGCCTAATAATAATCCCTTCAAAACCAAAAACAATAATAAATTGGTCATTTTCAATCCACGACTGTTTGTGGACATTGCTGTGCGCAATTGGCTGCTGCGTTCGCCCACAAATATACAGTCAATTCACTTTACAGTGTGTTCTGTGAAACGTTTTGGGACGTCCTCCCGACGTGAAAAACGCTATATCAAATGCAAGGATTATTATTATTATTATTATAATTGCCTTTAAAAATAGTTTTGAATTTTTCCTACATGTAAAGCATACATTTGTATTCAAAGAAAGGCATCATTTTGACTGTGCTTTTGGTCAACACTTAAAAATTCCTCTTCCCTCCCTGGACAGTCTTTCCTCCACTATCTATATGGAGCACTTATGAGACCATCATCTTACCCTATGATTGGCACTAAACAAACCAATAAATGCAAGTTATTGCCCTCCTGACATCCAACACAAAGTGTTGCAAAAGGCTCCACCCCATGACAGCGGCGACAACTTACAATAACTTTCCAAACAGAAATAAAGATCTCCGGCTCTGGAAAGGTGACCTGCGATCCCCAATGGGGTCGACTTTGTGCTGTTTGCGTAAAGTTGGGGATTGCTGCGTTTTCTGGAGGATTTTCAGGCAGAAAGATTCCCAGAATGCTCTGTTCTCACCACAGCCTCACCATTTTGTGGTGACGTTGTGTCGGGGAGAGAGAGGGGGAAGGAGAGAGAGAGAGGGGGGGGGAAGGAGAGCAGCAGTGAGAGAGAGAGAGAGAGAGAAGGGAAAGGAGAGAGAAAAAGAGAGGGAAGGAGAAGGAGAGAGAGAAGGGGAAGGAGAGAGAGAAGGAGAAGGAGAGAGAGAAGGGGAAGGAGAGAGAGAGGGGAAGGAGAGAGAGAGGGGAAGGAGAGAGAGAGGGGAAGGAGAGAGAGAGAGAAGGGGAAGGAGAGAGAGGAGAGAAAGAAGAGATGCTGAGAGCCGGGCTATGTCGAGCTCAGCGCCTCCTCCTCCCGCCTCTTCAGGGCCTCGGGGCCGCCATCAGCCGAGGAGCTCAGCAGTGGCAGCCGGACGAGCAGTGGATGCAGCAATACTCCGGAGCCGTCATGTATCCCGATCACAACAACATCAAGTGGAAACCTGCGCCCTGGAACGACAAAGACCCTCCGGCAGAGAAAACCGTCTCTACCCTGACTGTAAACTTTGGGCCACAACACCCGGCAGCTCATGGTGTCCTGAGGCTGGTGATGGAGTTGAGTGGGGAGTCGGTCAAGCGGTGTGACCCCCACATCGGCCTCTTACACCGCGGGACAGAGAAACTGATCGAGGCTAAAACCTACCTGCAGGCCCTGCCCTACTTTGACAGACTGGATTACGTGTCTATGATGTGCAATGAACAGTGCTATTCTCTCGCTGTGGAGAAGCTGCTGAACATCAGACCACCTCCTCGAGCTCAGTGGATAAGAGTCCTGTTCGGAGAGATCACCAGAATATTGAACCACATTATGGCCATAACCACACACGCTCTTGATATTGGGGCGATGACCCCATTTTTCTGGATGTTCGAGGAGAGGGAAAAGATGTTGGAATTCTACGAGCGGGTTTCCGGAGCCAGAATGCACGCAGCTTATGTCCGACCTGGTGGCGTCCATCAGGACCTTCCCCTCGGATTAATGGACGATATATACACCTTTATGACCAATTTCTCGATCCGAATTGATGAGGTCGAGGAGATGTTCACAGACAACAGAATTTGGAAAAATCGTACGGTTGATATTGGAGTCATAACAGCTCAGGAAGCGTTGAATTATGGATTCAGTGGGGTGATGTTAAGAGGATCTGGGATAAAATGGGATTTAAGAAAATCTCAACCCTACGATGCCTATGACCAGGTGGAATTCGACGTCCCCATAGGAAGTAATGGAGATTGTTATGATCGCTATGTGTGTCGGGTGGAGGAGATGAGGCAGAGTTTGAGGATTGTACTTCAGGCCCTGAACAAGATGCCTGAGGGAGAGATCAAAGTTGATGATGCTAAAATCTCTCCTCCCAAGAGAAGCGAGATGAAGGAGTCAATGGAAGCATTAATCCATCATTTTAAGTTATATACGGAGGGATATCAAGTTCCGCCTGGGGCCACTTACACAGCGATTGAAGCGCCAAAGGGGGAGTTTGGAGTGTATTTAGTGTCAGATGGAACAAGTCGCCCTTATAGATGTAAGATTAAAGCGCCCGGTTTTGCTCATTTAGCCGGACTTGATAAAATGTCTCAGGGACACATGTTAGCTGATGTGGTTGCGATTATAGGAACACAAGATATTGTGTTTGGTGAAGTTGATCGGTAAACAACGCTGGAAATAATTCAATATTACAGTATATTAATAAAAATAATAATAATGCGGTCACTCAATCCACATCTGTTTGTGGGACGCTGCTGTGCGCAATTGGCTCCTGCGTTTCGCCTACAAAATATACAATGAATTCACTTTACAGTATATTCTTTGAAGCGTTTTGAGACGTATCGAAGACATGATAATGCGCTATATCAAATGTAAATTATTATTTATTATTTTCACTTTTACATCCTACCAAATTCAGAAGCCCTATTTCAATAACATTACTCAAAGTGGAAGGAATATCTATCTGGAGTAGTGCAGAAACCCATCATCATGTTTGTGGGATACTGCTGTATGCAATTGGCTAACACATTTCACCAACAAAATATACATTCAATTAACTTTACAGGATATTCTGTGAAGCGCTTTGAGACGTTTGAGGTGCTGTATCAAATTCACGGATAATTATTATTATTAAGAGTATCCAAACTGGACAGAGTTTCACATATGTATGTCACCTACACATGAAATTTCTCTGTGTTTGAAATCGACTACCCATTCTCCCGAATGGACTCAGCTTGTTTGCCTTATTCCAGAATGTATTCGATGCAGGTTGGTAAGAGTCAAAACCTAGTGACTCTGCAGTGTGCAAATACTGCTTCTCCAGATAGGGGCACCCTTACCCGCTTGATATCAAAGAACAGTCTGACCAAGGAAGATCAGTAATGGAGTTAAATAGTTAGTTATACAGAATATACTGTTCTTTGAAAAACAAAACTCAACAATAATATTCAAAGTGAAAACTGACAGTATTCCCTGTCACTATTCTGTACTCTTTACAGGACAAATACTGCATGTTTAACTAACAAGGTTTGCAGCCGGAATGACTCGTGCACCCGCTTTATTCGTGTTTCCTGAACTATTTCTTATATCCCAGAAGTGAATCTGAAAGTTGTAAAATCGCAATTCAATTGCAAGTGATGCTATGTAAACACTTACGAGAATGACCAAGGCCCACTGGGCTTTTGCTGAAGCCAACCCTTGGAAAACCATATCTGTGGAGATATGTTAAGGAAATTCAGCAAATATTTCCATACTTATCAGATACTGTACTGCTTTTGGCAATTAATAAATTTTCTTCTTAAGTACATGAAATCCATCTACTGCTTTCTTTAAGCTGAAAACACCGTGTGCTACACATGACACATAGAATGAACAGCAGAAATTCATTCATGACCCAGAGTTGCAAGTGCCAGCTGCTGAACCAAACTCTCGCCTTTGTTGTCTGCATGAACAGCAGCATTTGATAATGCAGTACACAACAAAGTCAGATTGGCCAGAAATTAAAATACTTTTGTAGCCCAAAGTCAACCAAATACTAGCCCAAAAGTAGCCTAATATTACGTGTTGCTTACCTACTATGGGTATCAGAGTGACCAATTTAGGTTAGTGCTTTTGGAACTAAGAAAACGTCGTCAAAGGGTTCAAATTAAAACTTTAACAATTAGGCACCACCCAAAGCTGTTTTCTCACACATAGTACAACAAAAACACACCAAATTGGGTGTGAACCCACTCAATCTGGCAACATTGCATGAAGGTTAAAATGAAAACAGAGGGAGAAACAAATTCAGGGTTAAGGTCCTGGAAATGAAGAAGGTAAAGAGTTAGGAACTGATAAAACTCACCTTTCCAAGGTCAGCGGGTCAGAAAATGAGCATTTGAGTCCTGATTTCTATGCTGTTGCCTTTTTTCTTAACACACGGATGAAGGATACACAGGATAAAGGCTATTGTTGCTGTGAACGAAAGGAAAGTACGGAAGATCCCGATTATTCGCCCTTCCATTTGGATATTCGCGTGGAATGTCAGCACAGAATTGGTCCAACAGGCTATTAATCCAACTCCAAAGGCTGTGTAGGTACCGATATTATGTAACAAACGGTTGACGGACAACTGGAAGGATAAAATACCATTTGTGTCACAAAACTGCTGCTCTGTGCAAGTACAAATCACTCATAATTCAGAGGCTCACTAACATTCCTGTTTCGTTTAAGGTCCTCAACCATCAAATAACCATTTACAATCTTTATATTGCTATCCACATCTGAGACTGTGCTGAGTTAGCTGATCAGGGAGGCATTACGGATGGTATAATTGCTCCCTGACCTGAAAGGGAAAGGACACGGCTGGAGACATGATCGAGCTTGGCTGTGATGCACTACAAAAGCCAAATCTACTTATGTCTGCAGTCAACATTCAAACAAATTTTTCTGCAGATAAATTTTTACGTTGAGTATAATCCTTACATTTATGTTTTAGATGATCCATCAATAGTGATCAGGAGCTAATACCCTAACTTTTTCCCCCACTTCCTCCCAAGTCAATTGTCAGATCTTTTAATCGCAATCCCCCACCTTTTCTCCTTACCCCTTTATACCTTTAATCCCCAAGTGTCTGGATACCTCTCTCTAAAACATTCCTATTGAATCAGGCTCCATAGCTTTCTGGGGCAGAGCATTCCACATCTTCACAACCCTTTGTGTGAATTAATGGTTCCTGATCTTAGTTGTAACTGAATTACTATAAACCTGCCACCTTCTGGTTAATGTGACTCACTGATTACTGAACTAGGTGGTTGGTGCCTTTATCTTCTTGGACACTGGAGAGTTAGAAACCTATGCATTTTTTTTAAATAAATGTAAACTGGAAAAGCAAATGGACCAGAAGTATAGTACATAGCAACACAGGAAATGCTAGAAGAAATAGACCAAGGTCTATCTAGATCGCCTTCTACCATCCTGGTAGTCGCATACTACAATAATAGTAATCCAATAATGGAGATGTTGATATAGACTAACAAAATAATGAATCTGATGTTGTATGGAGGTTCACTGTTTACTTTTCCATGGGTAACGATCCCTTCAAAATAAATAAATAAAAATAATAATTTGGTCACTCAATCCACGACTGTTTTGTGGGACAATGAAGTGTGCAATTGGCTGCCGCATTTCGCCCACAAAATATACAGTGAATTCACTTTACAGTTATATTCTGTGAAGCGCTTTGAGACATTTCAAAGATGTCTTAACGCACAATATAAAATGCAAGGATTATTATTTTATTACTGGATAATTTTACACCAGACAAATCAAGCCATCGTCTCAAACTACGATCAAATGGTATTCTGCTGCTTATTGACTATTAATACCACACATCTAAAAGAGAATGATGTAGACCTGACTTTGATGGGAACAGGAGGAGACTATTCAGTCCAACAAGCCTGTTCCACCATTCTATGGGTTAATATGCCCAATCTTTCAATACAATTTCCTGGCTTGTTGCGACAGCTAATCCGCACCAGTCACATCCCATAAACAACAACATGAGCCAATTTCAATTGGGTGTAAATTTGCATTTGATAGGGTATTGTAAATCAGGATAGCTGAGTGTACCTCCCCACCCCGAGTGATTCCATACCCCCACCTTGAGGAATTTCTATGTTTGAATGATACCTCAGGGATGGTCCAGATATCCACTGGGGATCTGCCAGACACATGGTTGAGATCAATAACTCACCAAGTCCACAAGGCAGTACTGGCCGATGCATTGACATCACATTGACAGAAGGACAGGATTAAAAGCTGCTTTGCACCCAGAACCAGTAACAAGGAACTTGCTTAATACGCCTGGGAAAATGAAACAGAAAAGCTACACCTGGACATTGCCCAATATCGTCATTCCAACACACACGAGACACAGCATTGCCAGCGTAATGGTGTTAAGTATCTTGAATTGATTCTTTGTCATGGTCTGAAGTATCGTAAACCGTAATACAGCGGTTACAAGCACTGGAAGAGGTGGAAAAGTAGAACAAATCAATTTTTAGCAAATAACAATATCTTCAGCAACCTTAACTCACGTTAGTTTCCAGTCGTATGGAAATAAAGGGCAAACAGGACTGGAAAAGAACACTGATATCTATCTTATAATAATGATGGTTATTTAATACTATAATTATTATCTGGCTGGTCTCAAAATAGTTGTCAATGTTCTCTTTCCACAAGCACCTTTGTGGTTACTCTTCTCAGTCCTATAAAAATGCACTTATAATAGGAAAATTAAAGATTCACTTCTGAACCTAGTTCAAAAAGAATGAAGTTATTACTTCTTTAAATATAAAAAACTAATGTCTTCGCTCAATGAATCCATTTTCGTTAAACAGATTTCAAAGCCAATTCAGACCAGGCAGGTCCCAGCTGATGTCAGTCAGTACTGTGTCAGCAATCCTGCAAAGTGACATCAGTGCCCCAAGGTAAGAAAAGGGGTAAAGAAAAATCAACTCCGTTGCTACTCAGATTGCTAGTGTTGTTCTCCCTTTTTTTAAAGCTCAAAAGAACAGATCTGTGGTCAATAGGAAAGGACATAGTCAGACTCAGCTCCATTGCCCTCACAGCCATGATAGCTCTCACTCACAATCACTGTTCACGTTTAAACATTAATGACAGTCACTTTCGTGGTATACTGAAGAGGAGCCAATACCAACAGAACTCTAATGATGCAACAGTGTCTTTACAAGAGAAAGGGAAACAAGTAAGAAAATAAACTGACCAATTTCCGTCATTCAACAAGCACAGATGGTAACATAGAAGAGGTGGGAGAGAGTATTAGGACAGATGGAGACTCACCTGAAATATAACCACTGGCACGGATTAGTTGGCCCGAATGCCCATTTCTGTGATGTAACAATCTATGTAATTCTACGCAACATAAATGCCATTCGCACACAGCTCTGAATGCAAATAAGCAAATATTAAGAATCTTTTCCTACCTAAAAATGCTGCAAGGCACATTATTTCCGCAAAAATATAGCTTCCAGGAGGATATTCAGCTGTCACACTTCAAAAGAAAAAGAGTGATTTTCCAAAATATTACATTGAATTAACTAATAAGAGTTGAAACTGAATAAAATACATTGCATAGAAGTCTACTGTACCTTATAAAGGGAGTTTTCAATGTACAATTTTCTTGCCTACATTCAATAAGAAAAACCAGCAAGAAAACACAATTGGTTTTGATTAACATACAGTTATATACAGTCGTACAACATGGAAACAAATCTACTTACAGGGTAAATAGATTTCAATAATTATATGTTGCATTTTATTGCTCTTCCATCTCTCCCCCTCAACCGTGCATCTCCTTAACTCAAAATATAAGATCAGGCAGAATTTTGCAAGATTTTTAAAATTAATTTTACTCAGCTCTTTGGAGGAACAACAGAAAAACAGCTTCTGAATTCAGACTGAATGTATTAATTTTCCAAACTTCTGCATAATCTTGCATTACAAACCAAAGATCATGCAGAATTTTGGAAAACTATTTTCAATTCAGTCTCAATTCAGGAGTTATTTTTCTGCAGGACCAAGTAGGAACTGTGGAAAATGGGTTTCCAAATTAAAACTGAATTTAAGACCATTTTCCCAAACTCAGCATAGTCTTCTCCAATTTTAATACAAAGGTCTTAAGCCTAAGAGCATAACAATTCCAGACATTACCCCTCCCTCGATCACCCAACAGCCACACACACACACATACATAATTTCCAGCAAAAGGTTACTGGATACCGATCAGTTAGACAAATCCCTGTCAGAGATTCCCTAATCCCGAGCCCAGCAGCCAAAAGCAATACCCCAAATTCTCCTCCAGGCACGAGTCCTTCCAAACAAATTTATGCCCAAGTAATGTAGGTTAAGATATATGTGGCCAAAAAAATTTAACTCACGTGCTAACAAGTGAACAGATCCTTTGCTGTTGTCTTGCTAATACGTATCTGTTTAAAATAAAATTTGACATGTCTAAAATGATCCTAAAATAAAACATATCCAGAGTATTTTATTCCCATCTTCTTTCTCTTATTTCCCTCTAGGCCCTCTCTAGGCTTCCCTTCCTTTTGTAGTGAAACCTGAATTATTCCATTGGGATGCTGGTTCTCCATGCTACTGTTGCTGGAGACCTCTCCTGTCTATTGACTGTGTGTCAGCCTTGGGCAGTAGTAGCATTTTCGTCTCTGAGTCAGAAGATTGTGGGTTCAAATCCCATGTCGGGACTTGGGATCACATAGTCTAAGCTGACATTCCAGTTCTGGGGGGCGGTGATACATTGTTGGAGGTATCGTCATTTCAGATGAGACATTAATTCGAGGTCCCATCTGCCTGATTAGGTGGATGTTAAAGATCCTATGGCACATTCGAAAAGAAAGGGGTAACTCTCCCACTGTCCTGACCAACAAATTCCCCAGTAAAAATTGGTCACTCACTCCACAGCAAACTGGCTGCACGTTTTGCCCACAAAATACAGTCAATCCACTTTACAGTATATCCTGTGAAGCACTTTGAGACATCTCGACGATGTGATAAGGTGCTGTACAAATGTAATCTTGTTGTTGTTGTATCAAATGTAAGGATTATTATTACCTGACCCATCTTCCAGTGTTGTGACTTGCTAACAATGTTAATATGGCACAAATAAATGCATGCACTGACTTTAGTGACTTTAACACAATGACTGGTCCCCAGATGTGCTGGAGTTGGACCTGTTCACCAAACACACTACAAAATGTCAAGGCAGCCTGGCTCAGCTGGTAGCACTCATTTCTCAATCAGAAGATTCATTTTAAACACTCCAAGATGTTACTTGCGTGAAGGGCCAAAATAAATGCAAGTTGGTGTTGTTGTGGGTTCAAGCCCACATCAGCACTTTTCATAGTCTGGACTAATACTCCAATGCAGTGCTGTAGTACACTGGATTGTGGGAAGTGTTAAATGGTCGTTACTTGGGGGAATTGTTGGCCCGGACACTGTCAGAAACTCCCTTCTCCTTTCGAATCGTGCTATGGAATCTTTAACATCCACCTGAACAGGCAGACGGGACCTTGGTTTAACATCTCTTCCGAAAGATGTCACGTCTGACAATGCGGCGTAACCCCAGCACTGCATCGGAGGGTCAGCATAGACTATATGGGTTCCAATGTGAAGCTTGAACCCACAATGTTCTGACTCAGAGGCGAGAGTGCTACCAACTGAGCCTGGCTGATACATTTGCTCATAGTGCACATGTGCAACCTGCAGGAAGTGACTGTGGCAGCCAATTTAGCTTTATCCCCCCTCACGGCTTATGGACCTGAAACAGTCAATTCATTATAATGGGGGTTTCTATACCAATCTAAAAAGGTTATAACTCAGTACAGACTGGGGATCAAACCTGGGATCTTCATAGTCCACGTGGCTCATCTATACTCTGGATAAACTCGCTGAATGAACCATGAGGAGAAAGCCTCAATGTCGATGTAGAGAGAGAGAGACGGAGAGGCACACACACTCACACACAGGTACAAAGCTTCACAGCATGTATTGTCAGGTGTACAATGCATTGATATTCTTAATATTAATAAAAATAAACTAACAAAAGATATTTAAATTTAAATAAATTGGTTGGAGTTTTAACAAGAAGTAAACTTCTCAATTATCAGCTGGATTTTAAACATTTGAACAACGTTAATTCTATTTAGTTTGGCATCAAAGAAAATGCTTCAAACCACCTACAGATAACTCACATCCTCAGCAGAGGGAGAAGGATAGTCCAACCTCTAATTTATTGTAACTAAATAAAACAAATTGCAGACTAGTTCACACAGGATAGTAGGAGCAGGAAAGTAACCTTACAGTGTAATTATTCCAATGATGACAACAATCAGGAATGCAATGGGAATGCACATCCAAAAGCTTATTTTCTTCATTTTAGTGTGTGGTTTACAAATTTTGACTTCTTTCTTTCTGAAACAAAAGCGACAAGGTGTTACTTGCACAAAGATTTTTTAGTGGGCATGAGGGTGTCACAGAAGAAACTATCGACACCAATCATAATTGGTGAACAAACCATTGACGAGAACAACAACTTAATTTATATATTGGGCCCCTCACATGGGGTAGCGTCTTGCAGCACTGACCATTGAACCAAATGCAACAAAATAACTCATACCACCTGCAGTGAGCACTAACAGAAAGGGAGGGACACCTGCTCCTCCCAGACACATTGTCCCCATGGGTGGGAATGTCTTTCGAACCCTCTCGGCTCATCGATAGGCTTCCTTTTTGTAGAAGAGCCCAGTGACTGGTCAGATGCACAACCCTCCAATGCACAAATACCAAACTTTTGTAAAATCTTTTGAAACGCTTTGAGAAATCCACCCAACATGAATGGTGCTATATTAAATGCAAAGATGATTATTATTTTATTATTGGGAGGGCATTTCTTGAAGGCACTATGGGACACTGTTGCTGGAAGCCTCTCAAGCCTCCCTCCCGTAACCCAATCACCATGCAGGGAGCACTCACTGGCTGCAAGTTGCTCGATGGTGTGGCTACTGATGCTCCATGTAGTAGGAACAGCTGCTCACAGCCCCATATCAATCTGGTTACAATATCTCACTGAACTGGTATCTGCTGAACTGAACTCTCTCTGCCTTTGTCTCGCAGCAAACGGCTTCTCCTCCCTCCAAACTCTCTGACTTGCTGACTTTCTACCAACCTGCCCACTCTCTCCTTCAGTGGGCTCTGGTCTGCTCCATGTCTCCCGCCCAACCATCGGTGGCCGGGCTTTCAGCCTCTCTGCCCCCACACTCTGGAACTCCATCCCACAATCCCTTTGCCTCGCTCCCTCCCTCCCTCCCTCCCTCCCTCGCCTCCTTCAAGGCCGGTCTCACGACCCTTCTCTTCGATCGTGCCTTTGGTCGCTCTCCCCCCCCCCCCCCCCTCCCCCCCACCCCTCCAGCCCCCCCACCCCTCCTCCCCCCACGCTCGAGCCGCGGACACCTTAATGTCCAGCGCTTTGGGAGGTCCTCCCAACGCGAAAGGCGCTCTATAAATGTCATGTTGTTGTTGTTGCACACCCCCCCCCCCCCCCCGAAACTCTAGAACATTCTCCCCCTCCCCCTGGGCCCTCCCCTCCCCCACCTTCAGGTCGCACCCGAAGGCCTTCCTCTTCGACCGTCGCCTCGGCCGACCCCCCCCTCCACCGTCAAGTTATTGTCGTTACCGTGTGAAAGGCGATACGTGAGTCACCGCCCGATGTTGGTGTGACCCCAGTGTGTGAGTGTGAGTGCGATCACCACCGTCTCCTGTTCGAAGCGGCTGTCGAGACAGACCGTTACCTTGTGCCTTCCTCACCGCCCCTGACCCCACGTGATGCTGACGCGCAGCCGCCTCCTCGCCTGTCTCATTGGGGCCGCGTCCTGACTGACAGACGCTCGGACCAATCAGCGGCCTCGGATGTCGGGTGGGCGGTGCCGCGCAACTGACAGGTCATTCCCACTTCGGCAAAGGCGCTCAACGCTGGAAATCCGGAGCAGAGCCCGAGATCACTGGGAGGGCTCAGCAGGTCAGGCAGCATCCGCGGAGAAAGGAAAGGAAAGTCAGTCAATGTTTGGGGTCCACGATTGCGTCTTCACGAAGGGTCGTGCACCCGAAACGTTCATTCCCTTTCCTTTCTCCATAGATGCTGCCTGACCTGCTGCGTGTTATAATAATAATAATAATAATAATAATCCTTGCATTTGGTACAGGACGTCCCAAAGCGCTTCAAAGAATATACTGTAAAATGAATTGACTGTACATTTGTGGGCGAACGCGGCAGCCGATTGCGCACAGCAATGTCCCACAAACAGTGGTGGATTGAAAATGACCAATTTATTATTGTTTTTGATTTTGGAGGGATTATTATTAGGCTCTGTGTGGAGTAAGGAAACTTGCCCAGGGTTTCGCCCTCTGCCTGGAATTGAACTCAGGTCTCTCACTTGCAAAGCGAGTGCTCTCACCACTGAGCTGCAGGACTCCAAGTGAATTGACTGCATATTGATTGGGCAAAACTTGTCGGCTAATTGTGGATTGAGTGAGCAAAAAAAAATTTCTTGAGGGATTATTAACTTGAGGATTATTATAATAACTGTACACAGTATTCCAAGTGCAGTCACACCAGTGATTTACAAAGCGGCATTGATAAACTTCCCTCCTGGACAGTCTTTCCTCCACTATCTATATGGAGCACTTATGAGACCATCGTCTTACCCTATGATTGGCACTAAACAAACCAATAAGTGCAAGTTATTGCCCTCCTGACATCCAACACAAAGTGCTGCAAAAACCTCCACCCGATGGCAGCGCCGACAACTGTGTGTTCTGGAGGCGTTTCAGGCAGAAAGATTCCCAGAATGCACTGCTCTCACCACAGCCTCGCCATTTTGTGGTGACCTTGTGTCGGGGAGAGAGGGGGAGAGGGGGAAGGAGAGAGGGGGGAGAGAGAGGGGGAAGGAGACAGAGAGGGAGAGAGGGGGAAGGACAGAGAGAGGGAGAGGGGGAAGGAGAGCGAGTGGGAGAGAGAGAGGGAAGGAGAGAGAGGGAGGGAGAGGGGGAAGGAGAGAGAGAGGGAGGGAGAGGGGGAAGGAGAGAGAGAGGGAGAGGGGGAAGGAGAGCGAGTGGGAGAGAGAGAGGGAAGGAGAGAGAGAGGGAGGGAGAGGGGGAAGGAGAGAGAGAGGGAGGGGGGGAAGGAGAGAGAGAGGGGGAAGGAGAGAGAGAGGGGGAAGGAGAGAGAGGGGGAAGGAGAGAGAGGGAGAGGGGGAAGGAGAGAGAGAGGGAGAGGGGGAAGGAGAGCGAGTGGGAGAGAGAGAGGGAAGGAGAGAGAGAGGGGGAAGGGGAGAGGGGGAAGGAGAGAGAGGGAGAGGGGAAGGAGAGAGAGAGAGAGGGGAAGGAGAGAGAGGGAGAGGGGGAAGGAGAGAGAGAGAGAAGGGGAAGGAGAGAGAGAGAGATGGGAAGGAGAGAGAGAGAGAAGGGGAAGGAGAGAGAGAGAGAAGGGGAAGGAGAGAGAGAGAGATGGGAAGGAGAGAGAGAGAGGGAAGGAGAGAGAGGAGAGAAAGAAGAGATGCTGAGAGCCGGGCTATGTCGAGCTCAGCGCCTCCTCCTCCCGCCTCTTCAGGGCCTCGGGGCCGCCATCAGCCGAGGAGCTCAGCAGTGGCAGCCGGACGAGCAGTGGATGCAGCAATACTCCGGAGCCGTCATGTATCCCGATCACAACAACATCAAGTGGAAACCTGCGCCCTGGAACGACAAAGACCCTCCGGCAGAGAAAACCGTCTCTACCCTGACTGTAAACTTTGGGCCACAACACCCGGCAGCTCATGGTGTCCTGAGGCTGGTGATGGAGTTGAGTGGGGAGTCGGTCAAGCGGTGTGACCCCCACATCGGCCTCTTACACCGCGGGACAGAGAAACTGATCGAGGCTAAAACCTACCTGCAGGCCCTGCCCTACTTTGACAGACTGGATTACGTGTCTATGATGTGCAATGAACAGTGCTATTCTCTCGCTGTGGAGAAGCTGCTGAACATCAGACCACCTCCTCGAGCTCAGTGGATAAGAGTCCTGTTCGGAGAGATCACCAGAATATTGAACCACATTATGGCCATAACCACACACGCTCTTGATATTGGGGCGATGACCCCATTTTTCTGGATGTTCGAGGAGAGGGAAAAGATGTTGGAATTCTACGAGCGGGTTTCCGGAGCCAGAATGCACGCAGCTTATGTCCGACCTGGTGGCGTCCATCAGGACCTTCCCCTCGGATTAATGGACGATATATACACCTTTATGACCAATTTCTCGATCCGAATTGATGAGGTCGAGGAGATGTTCACAGACAACAGAATTTGGAAAAATCGTACGGTTGATATTGGAGTCATAACAGCTCAGGAAGCGTTGAATTATGGATTCAGTGGGGTGATGTTAAGAGGATCTGGGATAAAATGGGATTTAAGAAAATCTCAACCCTACGATGCCTATGACCAGGTGGAATTCGACGTCCCCATAGGAAGTAATGGAGATTGTTATGATCGCTATGTGTGTCGGGTGGAGGAGATGAGGCAGAGTTTGAGGATTGTACTTCAGGCCCTGAACAAGATGCCTGAGGGAGAGATCAAAGTTGATGATGCTAAAATCTCTCCTCCCAAGAGAAGCGAGATGAAGGAGTCAATGGAAGCATTAATCCATCATTTTAAGTTATATACGGAGGGATATCAAGTTCCGCCTGGGGCCACTTACACAGCGATTGAAGCGCCAAAGGGGGAGTTTGGAGTGTATTTAGTGTCAGATGGAACAAGTCGCCCTTATAGATGTAAGATTAAAGCGCCCGGTTTTGCTCATTTAGCCGGACTTGATAAAATGTCTCAGGGACACATGTTAGCTGATGTGGTTGCGATTATAGGAACACAAGATATTGTGTTTGGTGAAGTTGATCGGTAAACAACGCTGGAAATAATTCAATATTACAGTATATTAATAAAAATAATAATAATGCGGTCACTCAATCCACATCTGTTTGTGGGACGCTGCTGTGCGCAATTGGCTCCTGCGTTTCGCCTACAAAATATACAATGAATTCACTTTACAGTATATTCTGTGAAGCATTTTGAGAAGTATCGAAGACATGATAATGCGCTATATCAAATGTAAATTATTATTTATTATTTTCACTTTTACATCCTACCAAATTCAGAAGCCCTATTTCAATAACATTACTCAAAGTGGAAGGAATATCTATCTGGAGTAGTGCAGAAACCCATCATCATGTTTGTGGGATACTGCTGTATGCAATTGGCTAACACATTTCACCCACAACATATACATTCAATTAACTTTACAGGATATTCTGTGAAGCGCTTTGAGACGTTTGAGGTGCTGTATCAAATTCACGGATGATTATTATTATTATTATTAAGAGTATCCAAACTAGACAGAGTTTCACATATGTATGTCACCTACACATGAAATTTCTCTGTGTTTGAAATCGACTACCCATTCTCCCGAATGGACTCAGCTTGTTTGCCTTATTCCAGAATGTATTCAATGCAGGTTGGTAAAAGTCAAAACCTAGTGACTCTGCAGTGTGCAAATACTGCTTCTCCAGATAGGGGCACCCTTACCCGCTTGATATCAAAGAACAGTCTGACCAAGGAAGATCAGTAATGGAGTTAAATAGTTAGTTATACAGAATATACTGTTCTTTGAAAAACAAAACTCAACAATAATATTCAAAGTGAAAACTGACAGTATTCCCTGTCACTATTCTGTACTCTTTACAGGACAAATACTGCATGTTTAACTAACAAGGTTTGCAGCCAGAATGACTTGTGCTCCCGCTTTATTCGTGTTTCCTGAACTATTTCTTGTATCCCAGAAGTGAATCCGAAAGTTGGAAAATCGCAATTCAATTGCAAGTGATGCTATGTAAACACTTACGAGAATGACCAAGGCCCACTGGGCTTTTGCTGAAGCCATCCCTTGTAAAACCATATCTGTGGAGATATGTTAAGGAAATTCAGCAAATATTTCCATACTTATCAGATACTGTACTGCTTTTGGCAATTAATAAATTTTCTTCTTAAGTACATGAAATCCATCTACTGCTTTCTTTAAGCTGAAAACACCGTGTGCTACACATGACACATAGAATGAACAGCAGAAATTCATTCATGACCCAGAGTTGCAAGTGCCAGCTGCTGAACCAAACTCTCGCCTTTGTTGTCTGCATGAACAGCAGCATTTGATAATGCAGTACACAACAAAGTCAGATTGGCCAGAAATTAAAATACTTTTGTAGCCCAAAGTCAACCAAATACTAGCCCAAAAGTAGCCTAATATTACGTGTTGCTTACCTACTATGGGTATCAGAGTGACCAATTTAGGTTAGTGCTTTTGGAACTAAGAAAACGTAGTCAAAGGGTTCAAATTAAATAACAATGAGGCACCACCCAAAGCTGTTTTCTCACACATAGTACAACAAAAACACACCAAATTGGGTGTGAACCCACTCAATCTGGCAACATTGCATGAAGGTTAAAATGAAAACAGAGGGAGAAACAAATTCTGGGTTAAGGTCCTGGAAATGAAGAAGGTAAAGAGTTAGGAACTGATAAAACTCACCTTTCCAAGGTCAGCGGGTCAGAAAATGAGCATTTGAGTCCTGATTTCTATGTTGTTGCCTTTTTTCTTAACACACGGATGAAGGATACACAGGATAAAGGCTATTGTTGCTGTGAACGAAAGGAAAGTACGGAAGATCCCGATTATTCGCCCTTCCATTTGGATATTCGCGTGGAATGTCAGCACAGAATTGGTCCAACAGGCTATTA